CAAATTTTGAGGATAAAGTTGCAAAACCTCATTTGGAACATTACTCATAACTCCGTCGATCTCTCTCATTTTCATACCTAAAAAAATTTCTCAAACCATATGTAAAGGATTTTGGGATACATCATCCTAAAAGTTAACATATAATCAATGTGGGACTATATATTTCAACACCATATATATAGCTAGAGATTTAATCAGATGAATTGGGTTGCGGCCCATAAAAATTGGTGGCAACTTACAACTCATAAGGTATTCTGACCTACCGTACATATGCATATGCATGACATCACTTATAAGGTGGCGGCCAAAGTAATATCTTCCACCACCACTAAGTGTGTCGAACTTTAGTTTTGTTCTCAGTTTCTTGCTTTATTCTCTTATTACGATGCCCCGACCCATAACTTAAAGCTCATCGTCAACGAGGATTATCATAATGATAGACTATACAAGCATTCTTTTTTTTTTTGAAGAAAATATAAGCATTCTTAATTAGTGCGCAAACAAAATCATCGTCTTTGATGTTGTTTGTATGTGTTTAGCCAGGTTCTGGAAGCTTCTGCTATTATAAAACCTAAGTAGGGTAGGATTAGCTTTAGCCTTTAAGCTTCATAGTTATCTCATTTTGAGAAAGACTTGTCCCCAACTTCAAATTGCATGGTGAAGAAGTTTTGAGAGAGTTTTAAAAGGTCATAACCGCAAATGTGATTGAATTTGAGTTGAACTAAAAATGTGTACACCTATCATTGCTTTGTTGGAATAGTGCATCTGCATTATCCACTATTAATTTTAGAAAAATATAATATAAAAATTATAATGTAACCTTACCTAATAATTTAAATTTTTGGATTAAATTAATTTTTTACATGAATCTTTGTGACTAAGTGACTATGAATTCAATTCTTACTATCTCCGATGATGGAGCTTGTTAGAAAAACATATTATATATAAAAACACAACATTCACTTAATAGCTTAAATTTTAGGTTGAATTTGTTCTTTACACGGTATTAAAGTCTTCGTGATCCAGTTCGATCCTCAGCGCCATCATTTTACTAATAAATAATCAATTAATATTGTGGAGTTTCTAAGCATAAGTAAGTAGGACTGTGCATTATTCTCCCTTCAAGTCTAATGGGCTTTTGTATGAGAGATGTGTTATAAAAATTATTAATGTTGCCTCACATAACAACTTAATTAAGTTTTTGGGTTTAATTAACTATTTACGATTAACTCAACATTAAGTAATGGCCGACCTAGATATCATAATAGGGTAGATATATAAATCAAACAATTCTGCAAAACTAGTGAGGATTTAAGATGTTTACTTCTTTTTTTTACCAAAAAAAGAAAAAAGATGTTTACTTTTTAATGAGTACTAGTAATTGTTCTCAAATTCAAATCACATTCAGAAGTACCCTAGCTAGATTTGCCTGAATGGTTGACAACAAAAATCATTTTATATAACTATATTTTCAATAAATAACATGTTTATATAGTTTTATAATTTTAGCACAATTAGTGTCTAAACATTACTTCTCGCACCATTGTTTTCCAGCTATACTTCTCCTCACTTTTTTTTTTTAAAAATTGTTTCAATCTATCCTCTCACTCTTTGGCTGAGAAGTTTAAAATACAGGAAAATGATAGTTATACGTATATTAATATAATAGATATAATATGTTGTATGATTTGGATCGTTTGAAGAATGTGATAGATAAATTAAAATGTTATTCGATTTATACAAAAAGAAAAAAAATTATTTAAGTATATTTGTGCGACTATATGTTGGTATACCCTAACTTGATTGTTGAATTCAACTCCAACGAAGTAGGTAAAAGGGAAGTGGAGGGAATAAATTTGAGCGTGAGAGAATGCTGACTTCCTTTTTTGTTTTCCTTTCTTTATATACAATTCGTTTCAGAATGTGGGTTTGGGACGTTAGGCTTTCACTTATCATGGGTACGTAGTGGAATGGGTACCACAGAAAACTGGAAATTGTTTTCATAAGCGTTGAAACAAAGTAGATTGCAAGTCTTAAATAGTCTTAGTGGCTTCCATTTTCTCTTGGCCTGCACATACGCGTGGCTTTGTGACATGTTGGGTTTGTTTCCAACATTCCATCCGTAATCCCTAGTAGCTACAGAGCATATATAATTGTTTTTTCTTTCAGTAAAACAAAATATCTTCCCGGTTATGAGGGGACAGTATTGTTGCTTATTTAGATTTCCTGATCCTATTAGCATTTTGGAATTATCAGTTCCAAAGCCGGCCTAAGTTTATTAATTATATATAAAAAACAAAGCCGAAGAAGACTTTACTAGTCTTCGATCAATAAGAATATAATGGGCTCCTAGTTTCATGAAGTTGTTGTCTTTGGATATTTTGAATTACGTATTGGAGGGGTTTCGTAATTTATACATTGGTATGATTAATGTCCCTAACTTCAATTAAGAAGCAATTTTTTTTTTTTTTTGTAAGCCTAAGAAGCAAATCTCAAGTTTCAATCTCTCATGTCCTTTTTGTGATATAAAAAAATAGAGAGAAAAGGCCCTTTAGAATCTGTTTGGTAATACTATAAAATCAACATAAATTATTTTTTAGTTTAGCTGTTCGGGCAAATTATAGAAATGATTTTACATCTCAATACAGAAAAAATTTACTGTTAAAAAAATTGTGGTATTTTCTTTCTTGAAATTATTGGAGAATTTAAAAAAAAAATACGTTTTTTTAATTAAGTTTTTAAGAATAATTTTTAAACAAATAGGTTTTCTAAACTGAATTTAACATGCACCAACGAATCTCAAATGATTGATTCTATATTTACAATTTGGTATTGAATATCTGGATATGACTAGTATATGCTTCTGTGAATTTCATGTTTTTTTTTTCTTCCTTCAAATTATTATTATTTTTTATATTTTTGTTCGAATAACTTTAAGTTGTAAAATGACAATAAAAGAATTTAATGCTAAATTAACGACATTTATACATAAAATTTCCAATATTCGTCAAACATACAATGTGAAAAGACTCAAATTTATCAAAAAATTATTTCATATATATTTCAAATAAATAAAATGCATCGCTTAATATTAATAATTAATTGTTGAGGGTATTTCAAAATTCATTAAAAAGGAAAATACTGGAGAAACGTTCAAAGTATTGTATTCTGAAAGAAATATAATTTTGTAAAATGTTTACTATTTAATTGGAAAAATAAAAATTTAACCATTCATTTCTCATGCTCATGGAAACTCTAATCTTATATAAAGATATCATTTCAATTTATAAATTTAAGTTGTTAAGTAAAGATCTTTTTAATACGGTTTATAATGCAAAAGTTAGAAAATATATAAAAAAAAAAAATTGAATTCGAATTATATATAATAAACTCATGGACAGGAGTATAGAAATATAAAAATAAAAAGGAATAAAAATTGGCCCAGAGGAGATTGGACGATGATTCAATTTAAGGAACGAGAACCTGGCTTTGCATAAGATGCCAAGAAGTGGGTCGGTGAGTCGCGGCATTTTTAGTTTGGGTATGCTATTTGAATCATATGAAGAATGTCAACCACTAAAATATATTCTATAATTCTCCACAGCTTAATCTCTCCCATGCCTGCTTGAACAAGCTATTCGCAATTCCATTTTTATGTGTATTTTTATTTTTTATTTTTGAATGCTGATGAGTGTTTGGCAAATTAACATTTTGATTAATTGTTTAAAATTGAATTAATTACGTAAGCTTTTATATGTTTGAACTAGTGTTTTTTATTTTATTTAGAGCCATACCAAAACTGGCTTTGAAACTTAAATTTTCAATTGGGTGAGGTTGAGGATCAAATCGCCTCTCACGTCTTAGGTGGCGGCAAATAAGGATTAAGTTTTTTAAAATTTAGTGATTACTAGACACTGGCTCACGGGTTAGCTTAATTATTCCAAATAATATATTAGCACTTGCACTAGGAACGAGTGCTTTTTGTTTAAGGACATTAATTGAGTAAGAATAAAACATAACACAAGGTCTTGTTTTGTGTTTAGTACATTTTAAAAATACAATAAAACTAGACATACTTTTTTTAAAAAAAGAGTAATACATTGTAATTAATTCTACTTAAGGAAATAAAACAAAAGAAAATATAATAGAAAAGAATAAAATTATTTATTTCACTTTATTTTATTATATTCCCACTTACTTGAGTGAATTTCTGCGTGCTAAGGCGTATCACGGACATCCTATATTAAGGTAACTTGTTCCTATTATTATTTTTAAATAAAAACTAATGAAAATTGGTTAAGATGGTATGTGAATTGGCTCATCACCATGTTTTCTAAAGTATTAATCATTAGTAGGATGTAGGAAGTAGAATCTTCATAATTTTATTAGATTTATTGCAACAAAATCGGCTTGACTAACGTAAAGCAGGGATTTTGTAATAATAATATTTAAAAAAAATTAAAATTAGCTCAAATATATTTAATGTTTTCATTAAATCACAAACTTGAATAAAGTTTACAGTAAAAGAAATTTTTTTACTTTATAAAGTTCGTATAAAAAGTTAACGGTAAGATTATAAATCACCTGTTAATAATGTACGAGAGATTTTAAAATTTAAACCTAAATTAACCAGCTAGTTGGCTCATATGTACTTTTACAAATTATAACATAATGCATAATCATTTATAATAGATTCAAGCACCTTGAAGCCAGGCTGCCAGGCCACATGAACTTGTTGGTGGACTTTTTTGAGGTCTAGTAGGTTCTTGTGCAACGGTGCTCAGTTAAAAACATGGGCTTAAAAAAATTAGAATTCCACATTTTGGACGCAACAGCCCACATTCTCCAGGCTCGTTGATTCTTAAAGAGAAATCTCTCCATACCAAGTATCAACCCAACAAAGCCCAAGCCCATTAAAAGTTGGGCCTTCTCATTATTGAAATTTTAATTTTATTAATATTCTCCTGAGTCCTGAAGACAGTTCACCCACCGCGAAACAATATTGAGCATATTCCGCTAGATATGGTTCCACGCGCGGCAGAATCACGCGGTGATGACACGCCCACGGAAACGTCATGAGCCGGTGAAAGTTCTGATGGCACCCCATTCATCGCTAACGCCGAGGCTGCTAAAGCTAATACGACAGTACGTTACCTATTCTAAGTGATAACCGGTAACCGGTAACCTGCTTTCCTGTGTGGCAGGATATTCCTTGAAAGGATACATTGATCTTTGCGCCACATCGTAGCCCTACATTCTGTGCAGTACTATCACTATGGCTATAATCTAGACCCGCTGTTATGGCAATGAATCATTCTCTTGCTTCTTCTTCTTCTTCTTCTTCTCCTTCTTCTCCAACCTTGTCATCTTCGTCCTCTTCCTGGTTCTCCGGATTCGTTCGAGGCGGTAGGTCCTCCAGTTTGAAAATGTCCAGTAACTCCGCCATCGCCGCCTCCCCTGACATGACTGGCCCCGTCATCCGCAAAAATCAGTTCCGAGGGGTTCTCTTCAAGTACGGTCCCAATCCTATTCAGGTCCGTTACCTTGTTTCTTTTTTTAATTCTCGTTTCTGATCCGATTTTATTGTGGATTATTCTAATTTCGAACCATATTATATTCGCTGATATTGTGCCTGCATTGTCTTCAACCTCCGAGATCTCTGAATTTTCAAAGTATCATTCGTTTTATATAGGTTGTGGTTTCTGGTTATAGTGTCAAAGTTACGTGATGTTGTTTAACTTGCCTGCCTGCTACTCTGCCACCCGTTTGTATTCTATGTTCAACATCACCGATTCACCGTCACCTTTATGCCAACTAGTTCAGCTGATGAACCCGATTTAAAAGCAACGTTTGTATTCGAACATGTGTAACAAAATTAATATCAGTCACTTTCAGTATGAAATAATCTCTTAACAATATTGTAAAATTTTCAGTGCCTAATCTGGGTAATGTTCCCTCACAACTCTGTTTCACCTTACATTTAGGGGTGGCCATTGTGTTGTACTGCGTTAGAGTCCTGACTCCTGAAAGCTGAGGCAGGGCTTTCTTGTAGAGAAAAATAATTAATGTTGCTATATTCTTTCTTTTGTACCACGTAAATCCTAATTTCAATAAATTATTCTTGTCTTGAAATTTTAGAATTCTTCTGAATGTTATGGAGATTGCATTTTATGGTTTAGGATTACATTATTCCTTTGTCAAACTCATGCCTGAGTTGCTATCACTCTGTATCAGTCACTACCTTTTCTCTATTGTCTCTTCACTTTTAAAATCCCTTTTCTTTTCTTTTTTTCTTCCTTTTGTGTTTTCGTAGACTGCCTTGTGATAAATCATTCTATTTGCAGGTTGCATTCAAGACTGGTGATTTTAAACGACAAGTCATTTTTATTGGTGGATTAACCGATGGTTTTCTTGCTACTTCGTAAGTTTGATATTGCAGATTTTCTTCCAAGCAATATGCTTTTCATCTTCTAGAGTTTCTCCGGTTGAGAATGAGCTTAGACCTTCTCACTATATGCCTTATCATTTCTTTTTTCAAATATGATCTTAGATCCAAAGTTATAACTATATGCCATAGATGTGAACAGCAACAAGTGTGAATTTTTCCAGCCTACGAATTCTTAGTAAAAAAATATTAAGAAAACCCTTTTCAAAATTTTCAAGCCCATGAATATATAATTGGTTTAGTGTTTCTCCTCTCAAAAGAGAAAAAATTATCTCCATCAACCCTAACACGACGGCGTCTTAGGGTTTGGGAAAAAAATGCAGGGCATTTTGGAAAATTTCATGTTGCAAGGGAGAAGCAAAATTACCAAAATGCCCTGTATTTTTCCCCCTAAACGACATCAGCATTACATAAGATGATTTTATCTCCTGTGACGGAATAAACACTTTTTCCATATATAATTAATAAAGAAATATTATGATCGCAAATATTAGAAGAAATATAAAGCCACTCCAATACATTTGGTGCATGAGCGGTGTCATGGGATGTACTGAGCTTGTGAGTGTAATCATTTAGAAAAATATTCTTATTTATGTTGGTCTAAATGTTTGCGGCCTGCTTCCAAGTTCCAACGGATCTCAAATTCTATCTGCTAATCTCTGTTTCATTCTCAACTTCAGTTTGCTTTCCTATGGAAGCAGAATGGTCTGTTCTTCTCGTGTTCAGTGGCTTTAAAACCCAAATTCTTCAATTCTTTGGGTTAAAAGATAAAATGTAATGTATTTGTAACAGTATAATGATTGCTTTGGCTTTCTTAGCTTAAAATCCTATCTAGGGTTTCTAAGTATTTGGTGATGGGCATGATTGAGTTAAAGATAAGAGATAAATTAGTTGAATAAAATAAAATGCTGGTTTTAAGATATGCAAAAATAGTGCTTGGAGAACATCTTATGCATTATTACCCTTTTGCCACTTCTAAGTTAGTTTCAATTCACTGTAGTAACTTCAAAAATAGCAATATGAATAGCTACTGAGAAGTTAATTGTATTGTTTCTTTGGAAATCTGTTAACTGTGATATTTTTTATACTATTACTATTAGCACCTTGTACTTTCTATATTAAAAAGAAAAAAAGATTAAGTATTTTTTCAATATTTATAAATCTATGTCTTTGAAAGAAGAAAGTGCAACACTTTAGATAAATATAATTCTTGGTAAATTCCCAAATTTATTGTTTTAACTTTTGCAAGGACAACATAATTTTAAATAACAACAACCAAGCCCTATTCCTCTAGGTGGGTACAACTTTTTTTGAAAATAAAATAAAAATTGATGTATGATTTTCATTTTTTATTTTAAGATAATGTGCTAGAAGTTGGTATTATTATTAGTTTATTTAATAATATAATATCTATACTTGTTCCTGCACAGATTTTTTTCTTCTTTAAGAAAAAAGATCTGCATCTGGATGTGAACCTAAGAAGAGTTTCTGTCTGACATAGTGACATCTGTTTTCTTCATCTTCTTGTAGATACTTGGAACCTCTGGCAATTGCTTTGGACCGTGAGAATTGGTCACTAGTTCAATTTCTCATGTCATCTTCTTATAGTGGATATGGCACCTCCAGCTTGCAACAAGTAAACAATTAAATTTTAATTGTTGGTGTAGCTGTTGCTATTGCCTGTCGCTGTAAAGTGCTACTATATATTCTAGTGAATGGATATATGTTTATTAATTTTACTTATTATGAGCTCAAAATTCTGGTTTTACTTTATCTAACTTTTCATGAAAATATTAAGAGTAACCCGCCACATATAATGTCGCTAACATTCAGGTGAAGGTATTATTTTAATTTGTAGTGTGCATTGAAATGCCTTTCTCTTTAATATAGTGTACTTAGTGTTTGCAAAGGCATAGCATTGCAGTATAAAGCAATTGTTGGTCTTGGCGCTTACCTCAGGTTTCTTGTGGTAGAGAACACTTTGTTTAGTAAACTGTTAGGGACCCATTTGCAAGGTATGGGACTTGGAGTCCCACATTGGTTGTATGGGCAACTAATGTGGGGTTTATAAGGCCTTGGGCACTCCCACCCTTTGAGCTAGCTTTTGGGGTGGTGCTTCCCAAGGTTCTTATCAAATGGTATCAGAGCCTTCCACTGTGTCTCTGGGTTGCAATCGAGCGGCGCGGGTGGTAACGCCAGCATTGCAGTGTTTGCCCGGGGCTAGTAAAAGACTAGCGCAAAGCCAGCCCGCTTGGGCGCCGGGACTGCGGAGCGTGGTGGAATGTTAGGGACCCATTTGCAAGGTATGGGACTTAGAGTCCCACATTGGTTGTATGGGCAACTAATGTGGGGTTTATAAGGCCTTGGGCACTCCCACCCTTTGAGCTAGCTTTTGGGGTGGTGCATCCCAAGGTTCTTATCATAAACCTAAACAGTAAAAGACAACATCTTTGACTTTTTCATCCAATTTTTTTAAGTAATTTATCCTACTGTCAAATTAGTGACCATCAGCATCACCTCAACCAACATATATTCTGAATCAAGATGTTTTGTTAAATATGGTAAAGTAAGCATCCTGAGAGTAAGAGAAAGACCATTAAATTAGTGACCAATACCTCATGCAGCACATATTTAGAATATATTACCTCAATATTGTGGTCATTCAAGACCTATATGCTCAAGTTTTAATGTGTTAAAACAAAATTCTATTTTGATTCTCAGGTTTAACTGAAAAGTGCAATGTTAGTCTTTCCATCTGATTGATGAGGTTTATTATCTTGATGCTAAAGTTTGTGATTGCTTGTTGAATTCATGTTGAAGGATGCTAAGGATCTGGATCAGCTGATTAATTATTTAATTAACAAAGAAGATTCTGAAGGTGTGGCATTACTTGGGCATAGTACTGGCTGTCAGGTTATATGTTATTTGATTTAAATCCTGAACCATACTTTACTTCCATTTCTCCTCTTGCTACTAACATTTGTTGAGAAAGTTAAATAAACTTTTCTTCCTTTTGGAAATTTTATTTATCTAGGATATTGTGCATTACATGCGCACAAATTTTGCTTGCTCCCGGGCTGTTCGTGCTGCCATCTTTCAGGTATTTGTTGATAGTAGATCAATTCTGAACTTCATTTAAAAAAATTCTTTCACCTGCATGTCGTCTGTACAATGGTGGCCCTATCTTAATGCATTGTAATTATGCACGTAGAAGATGAACAGCCTTTTACAATTGGGGTCTTAATCTTCTAAAACACTCCAGTTTTTGTATGAGACTGGCCTAATTCACCTGATTTGAGTTTCTATCCATAACATGGATGCGGATACTTTGAAGTGAGTGACAGTATTTTGAGCCTACAATCTGACTGAATGGAACTGTCTTCCCAAACCATTATATTATGGATGTTCTGTCTGGTCAATGTCAATATATAATTTCATGCTATTGCATCTGTTCTCTAACTGAAAGCTTAGTTGTTATGTCTATTTAATTGTTCAGGCTCCTGTCAGTGATAGGGAATATCAAGCTACACTCCCTCAGACAGCTTCTATGATTGACTTGGCTGCAAAAATGATAAGTGAAGGCCGAGGTTCAGAGTTAATGCCAAGGGAAGCAGATCCTGCTGCCCCAATAACTGCCTATAGGTGAGTGTATATAAATATTGTAGGAGCAACACAAATACTGAGATAAGCCTGGATATCAATAAATAGGGTCAGCTATACGATTACTACATTGCTTGGAAACTAATGAATGTTATTCAATTGTAAGAATCTTCTTTTGCTCTCCAATTATAAGTCGAAAATGGTTGTTTGTTGTTGAGATATATAGTCCCACATTGGTTGTATGTGCAACTAATGTGGAGTTTATAAGGCCTTGGGCTCTCCCACCCCTTGAGCTAGCTTTTGGGGTGGTGTATCCCAAGACATACAACCAATGTGGGACTATATATCTCAACACGCCCCCTCACACGAGAGTCCATTGGGCTTGAAGAGTGGACAATGCAACAGGCCCAGCCTACCTGTGCTAAGAAATGCCACAAGAGAAAGCGGGGGACGGCGAGGCTCTGATACCATGTAAAGAACCTTGAGGTCACCACCCCAAAAGCTAGCTCAAAGGGTGGGAGTGCCCAAGGCCTTATAAAGGCCACATTAGTTGCACATACAGCCAATGTGGGACTATATATCTCAACATTAGTATAGAGAAATTCTTAGTTGGGCACGCTCTATCACATTATCTCATAGGCACTCAAATCATTATTTCACATATGTAAAGACATTTTTAAAATGGCCCCCACAACCTTGCAAATGTTAAATAATGATTTGAATGCCTATGGTAGACCATGCGTGAGTAAGAATTACTCATGAGTATAAGCAATTTCAATTTTTAAATGCCTACTATTTTGTAAGTATGATTCTTTTTCTTTATTTAGGACACTATGAATTATATGATAGTCGAGCGTAATTTACTTATGTGAGTTGATCCTTTAAAAGAATGATGTTGGTAAACCCATGGATCCTTCTGGCTTGCTTGCCAATTGCAAAAGCCACAAGTTTTACTCATGACACCGAGATTCCTCTACTGCTAACTGCAGTTAATGACAGGCTTCCAAATAAGTCAGTGCCATACTGCTATGCTGAATATCTGTGCAAGGTTTCAAGTGTTAAGTATTGTTTTTGAACTAAACTATATCAGATGTCAGGTAGACAACTTGTCCCCTATTAGTATTAAGTAATCTCTGTTTTCAAAGACATTATTTACTCCCTTTTTTTCCTCTTCTTTCTTCCTCAAATTTCTCTCCTTAGTGGACTAATACCATATGTGCGACATGTTGATGCATGAGAAATATTCACTGTTTGCTAAAATTGACATCGATTATATACTGCAGAAAAGGTCTTTGTTGTCTCATACTATTGCTCCCTTCCTTAAAGCAACTACTTTTGCAGGTATCATTCCCTGTGCTCATATAATGGCGATGATGACTTGTTCAGTTCTGACCTGAGTGATGATCAATTGAGGATGAGACTTGGGCACATGTCTAACACGCATTGCCAGGTGAGCATATATCTATGCATCATAATTCGTTGTTCTCTTTAGTCTATTCCTATATAGCCTTTGGGCTTGGCTAAAGTTATTTTGCTACAATATGCTAGTCTTAGGAGCAGAAGTTTTCTTTCTTCTTTTTCCTCTTTGTAGAAGGTATACGACAATTTTCTTTTGAAATGTCAATTGACAAATTGAAGCTAAATGCTTTCTAGGGTTTGCTTAGGTAGTTGGGGAGCTGGGTAGAGGTTACAAGTTTATATCATGCTAGTGATTCCCAATGTACCAAAAAAAATTTCACCATCAGATCATTAATGGTAACTCTCATTATTGGTCTGAATGGTGCTGAGCAATAGTGTAAGGGATGCCTTCATGGTGAAATGAGAGCGAGCCCCAGTGATACGGACCCACAACCTGAGGATACAATGGGCCCAGAAGAAGAGTATCAGCTGGACTCAGATTACACCCAAGGCCAGATGGGCCAAACGACACAAGAGCCAGCCCAAATGGATGAGTGATTATCATCTGGGTTAGCTTGACAGTATGCTGCACATGATGTGTTGGTTGCGTAATTTTAGGGAGCTGTTAGAAGAGGGAACGTGATTTCCATTCTGTTGTGCATTCTGTTAGCTGTAAGTGCTGAGGCACCGTTTGTTAGTCTGCATTCTTGCATTTCCTTTTATGTATATAAGCCGGTTGGCTTCTCATTATCAATCAAGCAATCAACAAGTTATTTTCTTCTTCATTTACTGTTTTTCAAAGGAGGTTACCCACCCTCGAAGTGGGATCATATTATCTGGTGCTTTCATTGAGAGGTCCTATCATTCCATGGCCGGACCGACTTCTTCTAATGAAAACATGGAGATCACACTCTCCCGTCTGCTTGACGCTCATCTCACATTACAAACAGATATTCAGAACATGGCACACCGAATGGCAGCTTTGGAAAGTAGACCCCTTCCTTTGGGTTCTCCTCACATGATCCCAGAACACGCCAACACAGGACCTGGAATCCGTACTACCATGAAACTGGATGTGCCAAGATTCGACGGCTCAGATCCTTTAGGTTGGTCCTTCAAAATATCTCAGTTTTTCGAGTTTCACCGTACACCAGAAGATCAACGTTTGCGAATAGCTTCTTTCTATATGGAGGGAGAGGCCTTAGGATGGTTTCAATGGATGCATTCCAATGGCCAGCTCAATAGTTGGGCTCAGTTCCTTCAAGCCTTAGACCTCCGTTTTGCCCCTTCCCAGTATGAAGATCCCAGGGGAGCGCTGTTCAAACTCTATCAAGCCACCACAGTTCGTGACTACCAGACGCAATTTGAAACGCTAGCTAACCGAATCGTGGGTCTCCCACCCCCTTTTCTTTTGAGCTGTTTTGTTTCAGGTCTTCGAGCAGACATCCGCCGTGAAGTACAAGCTCTGCAGCCTACTTCCCTCACACAAGCCATCGGGCTCGCTCGTCTCCAAGAAGAGAAGGTTAATGACACAAAAAAAACTCCCAAACCGGTTCCTCCGGTGTTCCTACTTTCCGATCTCCTCCGTCTCTGTCGGTTCCAAACACCAAGGCAGATCCGGCACTGAAGGGACGACCCATGATGAAACGATTATCCCCGGAAGAAGCGGCCGCCAGACGTGAAAAGGGGCTCTGCTACAACTGTGATGAGAAATATCGCCCAGGGCATAAGTGCAAGAGATTGTTCATGATGCTGATTGCTGACCCAGCATTTGAAGAGGATTATGTACCTGCTGACTTAAGTCTTTCCCTACAGCCGACGGTCCAACCAGATGACGACACGGATGAGCAAGAAACCCTAGTGGGCCAAATCAGCTTTAATGCCTTAGTGGGCCAAAGTGCTCCTCGGACCTTGCGGGTAAAGGGCCGAATCGGTAAAACTGAGCTCTCCATCTTGGTGGATAGTGGGAGTACCCACAATTTCATACAAGATAGGATTGCTAAATTTTTGGGCTTGCCTACACAAGAGACCCAAGGGTTTCCAGTAGTAGTTGGAAATGGGGATGAGTTGGAATGCTCTCTACTCTGTAAGACCGTACCACTACACTTTGGGCCGCACCAATTTAACGTGGATCTACTAGTATTGCCTATTAGTGGAACGGACCTGGTCCTTGGGGTCCAGTGGTTAAAAACCTTGGGACCCATCCTAACCGACTATAGGGACCTCACCATGAAGTTTGTGAAGAATGGGGAAATTGTTAAATTAACTGGGGCCTCTTCGGATGGGCTTCAAGAAATCTCCCTGGCCCAGCTGCGAAGGATGTCGTCCACACACTCTATTGTGGAACTTTTTCAATTGGAAGTGTACCCTAGCTCCACTCCACCGACAACTACCCCATCCGCACCTCCATGGCTCCCTGCCTTGCTGGACGAATTTAAACCACTGTTTGCAAACCTGGGCGAGCTCCCACCGCCGCGCGACGTGGATCACAGGATCCCACTGACCGATGTCTCAGCAACGGTTAATGTTCGACCGTATAGGTATCCTTTTTTCCAGAAGCGCGAGATCGGGAAGCAGGTTCAAGAGATGCTCGCTACCGGGTTGATTCAAGGCAGCACGAGTTCTTTTTCTTCTCCTGTTCTGTTAGTCCGCAAAAAAGACGGCTCATGGCGTTTTTGCGTAGACTATCGGGCACTAAATTCCATCACACGGAAAGATCGCTTCCCGATCCCAACCATCGACGAGCTTCTCGACGAATTACATGGAGCTCAGTGTTTTTCCAAGCTCGATCTGCGTTCTGGATACCACCAGATACGCATGCATCCCAACGACGTGTCCAAAACAGCTTTCCGAACTCACGACGGACACTACGAATTTTTGGTGATGCCGTTTGGGTTGTGCAATGCTCCGGCGACGTTCCAGGCAACTATGAATAGGTTGTTTCAACCCTATCTTCGTCAATTTATTATTGTTTTTTTGATGATATTTTAGTTTACAGCAAAACTGAGGCCGAGCATATGAGTCATCTCTGGCAAACTTTTGAGTGTCTGTTGCAGAATAAATTTCTGCTGAAAGGAACCAAGTGTTCGTTTGCACAGGAGTCTATTAATTATTTGGGTCATATCATATCCAAGGGTGGCGTGGGACCGGATCCGGAAAAAATTAGAGCCATGGTGGAATGGCCTCTGCCAACGACTCTTAAACAACTAAGAGGTTTTTTGGGTTTGACTGGTTTTTACAGAAAATTCGTTCGAGGTTACTCTGCAATCGCGGCACCTTTGACGGACATGTTGAAGCGTGATGCCTTCGAATGGTCCGAAAAGACACGAATGGCTTTCGAGCAGCTGAAAAGTGTAACGACTCAGGCCCCGGTCCTACACCTTCCTGATTTCGATTCAGAATTTGTGTTAGAAACCGATGCTTCTGGCTTAGGTATGGGAGCCGTACTGTTACAAAGAGGACACCCTGTGTGCTTCTTCAGCAAGAAATTTTCTGGTCGCCTACTTCAAGCCTCTACCTATGTACGGGAGTTACATGCCATCACGGAGGCTGTCCGCAAATGGCGTCCCTATCTGCTTGGCCGACGCTTCACAATTCACACGGATCAGCGAAGTCTTCGCGAGCTCATGACTCAGGTCATTCAGACCCCGGAGCAGCAGTATTATTTGTCAAAGCTCCTTGGGTACGACTACACTATAGCATATAAACCTGGTGCCTCAAACCAAGTGGCTGACGCATTATCCCGCGTAGAGCATTCAACTGCAACTTTGATGGTGCTCTCTGTTCCGCAATTTGAGTTTATTTCCAAGCTTAAAGGGACATATAACATTGACCTTGAGGTGCAAAAGCTTTTACAAGAATTGGAAAAAGACCCTTCTTCGCATCCTTTTATGCGCGCGGTGCAAGGGGTGCTTCTTTTCAAGGACAAGATTTTTATTCCAGCAGCCTCGCCCCTCAAACAAACCCTCTTACTTGAATTCCATGCTTCCCCATTAGCTGGGCATGTTGGTATCAGTAAGACGCTTGGCAGGCTTCGCGAGAATTTCTATTGGAAAGGCATGAAACATGATGTGGCAGCCTTTGTTAAATGCTGTTTGATTTGTCAACAGATGAAATCCTCACATCAAGCTCCGATTGGTCTCTTGCAACCAATTGAACCGCCAACTCAGGTGTGGGAGGACATCTCTCTGGACTTCATAACAGGGCTGCCTTCCTTCCAAAATTATACCGTAATTCTTGTGGTTGTAGACCGCTTCTCCAAGGCAGCCCATTTTGGGAAACTACCTACTCACTTTACTGCTTCTAAAGTTGCTGAGTTATTTGTTCAGATGGTCTGTAGCCTGCACGGTATGCCAAAGAGCATGATCTCCGACCGAGACCCTATCTTTCTCAGTCGTTTTTGGCAGGAGCTATTTAAACTCAACGGTACTAAGCTTCGAATGTCCACCGCTTACCACCCACAGAGTGATGGCCAAACTGAAGTGGTAAATAGAACACTGCAGCAGTACCTCCGGTCCTTTGTTCATGAACGTTTATGGGGAAAGTTCCTTCATTGGGCCGAATGGTGCTATAACACCACCACCCACTCATCCACAGGCACGACACCCTTCCAGGTTGTTTATGGAAGAGAACCTCCAAACATTCCCACGTATATCCTTGGCAGTAGCTCCATTGATGCCGTTGATTTCGAGCTAGGCGCGAGAGAGGCACTTTTACATCGTCTAAGGCAGCGTTTATTAAAAACTCAGGCAGCCATGAAACTGTCCGCGGATCAGCACCGCCGTCAATATGACTTCCATGAAGGAGATTGGGTAATGGTTCGCCTACGGCCCTACCGTCAGACTTCTGTAACTGGTTCTCATCCAAGGAAATTAGCCAAACGTTTCTATGGACCTTATCAGATTAAGCGCTGTATCAATCCGGTAGCCTTCGAATTGGAGCTTCCTGCTGACTCCAAAATACATCCTGTGTTTCATTCATCCTTGTTGAAACCCTTCTTTGCTGCTGATACACCCAATCCGGATCAACCTTTACAGTTGCCGTCGGATGCACTAGATCACCAACCACTGATCCAACCTTTGGCAATTCTGAATACTCAAGAAGGGCCAGATGCTTCCCAAACCAAGGTATTAGTTCAATGGAAAGGTTTATATCCCGAAGATGCTACTTGGGAGTTGCTGACTGAATTCCAAGCCACTTATCCTTCCTTCCACTTTGAGGACAATGTGGATTCTGATGGGGAAAGGGATGATACGGACCCACAACCTGAGGATACAATGGGCCCAGAAGAAGAGTATCAGCTGGACTCACAGATTACACCCAAGGCCAGATGGGCCAAACGACACAAGAGCCAGCCCAAATGGATGAGTGATTATCATCTGGGTTAGCTTGACAGTATGCTGCACATGATGTGTTGGTTGCGTAATTTTAGGGAGCTGTTAGAAGAGGGAACGTGATTTCCATTCTGTTGTGCATTCTGTTAGCTGTAAGTGCTGAGGCACCGTTTGTTAGTCTGCATTCTTGCATTTCCTTTTATGTATATAAGCCGGTTGGCTTCTCATTATCAATCAAGCAATCAACAAGTTATTTTCTTCTTCATTTACTGTTTTTCAAAGGAGGTTACCCACCCTCGAAGTGGGATCATATTACCCAGAGCAAGTGATAAGGTTGCTTCTTTGTGACCAGAAAATCATGGGTTCAAATATCGAAAACAGCCTTTTTGCAAAATGCAAGGGTAAGGTTGCATTCAATATTCCCTCACGTGTACCCTCGCAAAGCTTGGGAGCCTTTTTGTATTGGGGTTGCCTTTATTCTAATATAATTATAATGACAAAGACAGGAGATCTGAGAGCTACCTTTTTATTTTGGAAAGGAAAAAGAAAATCTATAAGGAAGTTTATCATCTTGGTTTGCCTTGGTTTTTTGGCAGGTTATATTTTCTATGGCAGATGAATATGTGCCAGATTATGTTGATAAGAAAGCACTGGTTGAGCGGTAAAATCCCCTTTCTGATGCCAAATTTTTGGTTATGCAATAACTGCAATTTGATAGGAGTAAGATATATGATTACTGTTCATATGGTGGGGTACATTTTGAAAACATGCAGATTATGCAGAGCGATGGGAGGTGCAGAGAAAGTAGAGATCGAATATGGAAACCACTCCCTCTCTAACAGAGTCGAAGAAGCTGTCCATGCTATTATTGACTTCTTAAAAAGAGAGGGACCCAAGGGCTGGGACGATCCATGGAATTAACGTGGGTGTCTTTGTCAATTTTGACTACCGTCTTTCGTTGTTATTGTAGTTTTGGTTCCTTTAATCTTGTTAATCTTTCATTTTTCTCCCATATATCTGTTTTTTTTATGGGGGGTGGGGGTGTTTAATCTGTCGGGGTTGTTATTTGCAGCCTTATTTTTTGTTAATATAATAGATGTTAATATATATTGTCTTAAGAAAAATAGTTTGTTTTTAAATTAATTAATTCTTACCCAAGGAAATTTTGCTACATTTTATCCACGTAAGGTGCTTTTTATGCCTTGTAAGTTGTGAATGTTACCTCTGTCGACCGATAGGGTTGTCAGGATTTGCTATAAGATTTTGTGATATAGACATGTAATGGAATTTAAGCCGCTTATTTGGTTGCTAGTTTTCCTGCATAAATAATTTCCCTACTGCAAGATCGGCATCAGAATTAATTAATTCCTTCTTGTGATCATGGTAGGGAAGCAACCAATGCACAAACGTATATTTTTTCTTCAAAAACATGAGTAGTAGTCCACGTTTTTCTTGTACGTGATACTCCCTCAGGCAATTTTACAACAGTATTTGTTTCATTTTTTTTTGTTTTCCTCCACATATTGGAGACCCATATCGCAGTCATGTACACTACACCTATGCTTCCTTCTCTTTGTTCATTTTAATTCTCCTGGATTCCTGTAATGAACTCTAGGTCCAAAATGATTTGTGTTGGTTGGTGGTTGGTTGGTGGAGTTGGTAACTACTGAGCAGCAGGCTAAAGTATCTAAGAAGCCGTCTATTAACTTAAAAATTAACCTTATTTTTCGTCGTTTGGCTTTAAAGAGATGCGTGCATGTTATGTTTTACCGGGTCAGGTGGATATGGACGACACAATATTTTAATTTTAAAAATATATTTTGATATCAAAATATATTTTTAATTTATGTAATATATATTATATTTAATATTCAATAATTTAAAAAAAAATTAAATTTATAATATTTATTAATTTTATAAAAAAATACAAGATGTAAATATTTATTATTATATTCTTAAAATGAAATTTTGTTATACATTTTAATAAGATTTATTTGATATTTATTTTTTATATTTATTATATCAGTTTGATAAAATATAAATTAATTTTTTAATATATATATATATATATATAATAAAATTTTAATTATTATAAATATTAAAACGTGTCAAAATATCTGAAAGTACTGAGATGTCCAAAAATATTCGATATGACACGTCAAGACAATCGTGATTGTCTACTGTTCTTATCTCCTCTAGTTCCCATAGCCACCATCACTTTGCCAGCTGTGACCAGAGTCAGGAGTGCCATATACTAGGCCCTATATAAAGAAATCTTCGTTTGGTACACGGAATTTTTCAAGAATTCTAAGAAATTAAATTTTTTAAAATTTTAAATTTACGAATATTATTATAAATTAAATGTAAAAATCATATTTTTAAAAATTAAGATTCTCGACTAAAATTTTTTTTCTCCTCTACCAAACACTTCTTACAAGCGTTTGAGATAATACTCTTAATCCTTCAAATTCTATTTGAATTTAAATATATTTGTAAAAAAATTAATTCAATTTAAAAGTTTAAATTAGTATAAGAAGATTTTTTAGTAGTTTATATTATTTTCTAACATACTTCTTCGTAAGATAGTTCATTGGATTTGAAATATGGATGATGTATCAGAGTTTACTTATGTTAATAAATTATACAAAGAAAATAAGAGGCGGTGAGGATCAAATCCGGAATATCGAGACTATCTAAAAAGTTTAAGCTATTAAGTGAAGAGGTCCATCAATGATTTATATAATTCTCTAAAATGTCTCCTCGCACAAAAGCGCACTGGATATAAAGGATGAATAATACACAGATTTATCTACTTATGCTAAAAAATTCTAATAAAAAAAATAAACTCTCTTACGAGGAAACGTGTTAAAAATATATAAAATTATTAAGTTTATATTATTATCTCACAATATTATTACATTTAATTAAGTTATTTTCTGTATCATGTGTTATGCTGTTACTGAATTGGTGTATCAATCTCAGCGCCAAAGTTTCTCCATATATCTTTGGGTTTTTTTAGGAAAAAAAAAATAACAGCACTACTAACCCGCGTCTATTGCAAAAAGCTGAGATCGGGTGAGTTCGTGAGTTGTGTTATGAGCGGTATTTCACATAAGAGCGTACTGAATATGAAGGGTAAATAATACACATATTCATTTATTTATGTTAAAAAATTGGATATGAAGGATAAATAATACAGAGGCGTATTTATTTATGTTAAAAAATTCTACAAGAAAACACTATTCCAAAATTAAGACTGAATAACCTGATACAGTTTTGTAGTGGCTAAGTTCCAATACGCTGTTACACTGTTGTAGTGCTAAATGACTTAAGTTTGTCGTATTGAATAAAATACATCTCATTCACGTGAACATGGATATGATAGCACATGCATAGCATTCACCAGAAGCAATGTTCTGAATCTTGGTGTCACTTAGTTAATCATTCGAGGGAAATTTAATTGATTACTTTGTACTTTGTCTATCTATTTCAGTCATAAACTCAATTCACCTATCCATTGCTTCAGATGTAGAAAATCGAAACCATTTTTTTTTTTTCAAAATTTAGATTTTGCAATTTTTTTCTGTTACTTAGAAAAATAACTTTACATGTGCCTAAGCTAACTTTCCATAGATTTGTCTCAAACAATCCTTCTTGAGCTGTTTAACTATAGTTTGGTGAGGCCTACAAGGAAAGCCTTCCCCTGCAATAAAAGGATGCCACTAACTAACTTTTTCAGTCATTAAATTGTGCATCAAATTTAATAGAAGTTTTACCCAAAAAATAAAAATAAAAATAAAATCATAGGATTATATTATAATGTTATTCCGGAAGATCCCTCTGAATTCTCAATCAGCCACCACCACACAAGTCTCTCTCTGTGATGTTCTGGCTGAATATGAATATAAGTGATACATTATTGCTTCTTCTTTTTTGGAAAACTACATTATTGCTGTGTGGTGACTGCAAACAAACATTTGTGGTTTGGGTGGGACATCCCACGTGGTCCACATTCCCATACAGTATGTTTCACCGTTTCATGAATGTTCCGAATGACATAAATGCCCCCATCAACCCCACCTCTCTGCTTCCTCAGTTCCAATCGTTAACAGTTCACGTGTGTCGGTGCGGTACATTGCGGACGGCACGGTGATTCAACAACGCTTCCTCTCGAATCCCCCAAATGTGCAGGGCACTATCGTCACATCAGTCCTTATTTTAATGGTATTAGCTACCTGAATAATCATTAAGTTCAAATTTGCTATATGTAAAACATTTAAGTGTAATTAAATAATGTCTTAAGAAATAATCAAAATTGTTAACTATACATTATTTAATGAGATTTATAATATATTAAATAAGGAATTTAATCAATTGTATGGTAATACATATAAGACTATGGGACGGTTATATTTACAATTACTTTAAATAATTGGATTATTTCAAAATCAACGCTTAATAAATATAATTTTTGATATATAATATGTTCAAATTAAATTCATAATAATTTAAATTATAGTTAAATGGAGTTTCTATTTTACTTGGAACATCCTACTCTATAAATAACCTACCGGCCTAGGATTCCCTACTTTCGTCGACATCTAATCATATCACTATTGTACCATATAAACATAAAATAAGCATCAAATTAACGTATTAATTAATTTTGTAATTTTATAATTTTTTAAAAAGGACCTATCGCAAAAATGTACAAATGGAAAAAAGTATAAAATATTAAGGTCGGTTTGGTATGCGGGGTTTTTGAAAATTCTTAAAAAATAAATTTTTTTAAATTTTTAATTTTCAGATATTATTGTAAACTAAATGTAAAAATCATATTTTTAAAAATTCAGATTCCCGAATAAAAAAAATTTCTCATCTATCAAACGTCCCGTAAAAGAAATATTTTTCTTATTTTACATAAGAAATTTTTTTCATGTTACACTCATAATTAAAAGGTGGGACTTATCTTGATTTTTTTATTTTTTTATTTTTTGTGGACTCCACTCATATATTATGTGTGTAACATGAAAAAATATTCTCATCTAAAATCATAAAATTAATCCCCATAGAATAATGTATTGCGAAATGCGAATATGCACATCTTACTATACATTTATGGGATTTATTAATTTCTTATAATAGAAGATATTTTTTCTCATACTATAAGCATAATTACATGGGATTCACTCATTTATAAAAAAAAAAATTAAAAAATTAATGTATATGTAGGAGAGAAAAATACACTCCAACAATATGAGAATATATTTTTTCTATATTTATATTACAAAATTTAAATACACACACTCTTATTATAATTTTATAAATTTATCAATTTAATTATCTAAAACAAAAGACTTTTGTAATTTTAAGATATTCTTTTTAAAGTTGAGAAGTATCATATTGAAATCCATGATATATTCTCTCATTATGTGTGATTTAATATGCTGAGGTTATGTGAAATGATTTTGACTATTCATTAACGATAATGAAAAATAAGAGAGAAAATATATTAGGAAAAGTAGTAATAAAAAGAGAGGTAGGATATTATACTATCAATTTTTTCTATTATCACTCTAATTATTATTAAATTCAAAAGTGATTTTTTTTTTCTCTTTTCATTCAATTTTTCCTCTCTAATCCAATAATGATTAGAGTGATAGTAGAAAAAATTGATAACATGAATATCTTACCTTATAAAAAGATAAGTATTAATTTATCTATAAACAATTAAGATCATCCCTTATCATGTTAAATTAAAATAAAAGGATTCAATTTTCGCATAACATAATTACAAGCCTGATAAACATTAAATTATGGTCAACCAAGTAATTAATTACTCTATGATTTTTATTCAGTTTTTATTTATCTAAACTATTTAATGATTGTGCAATGTATACTAGAAATGAAAATAAGATTAAAAGAGAGAGTTGAAAACATTAAATATATGGCACTTCACTTAAATAAGTTTAATGAACAAATATATCTAATAATTTATTAAACAGTATTTATTTTCGTATTACATCATTTACTCTTTTAAATTCATATTCAATGTTGACTCGATTTTTAAATTTTGTTATCACTAAAAATCTTAAATTTAAATCTTTAGTACCAGATTGTATTTTTTTTCCCGAAAAACAAGTCTAATCATAGAATTCTTCTTGCAAAAGCTCACACATTTTCTTTGTTATTATTGAATATCTATAAAGATTTATCATTGTGCCTGTATAAATATAATTTTTACAAACTACAAAAAAAAAGTTTAATAATTTAAATACAGGTTTATATATTCAAGTAATTGCATAAGATTCTTTACGTTTGTTTTTTATAAAATTAATATCGCCATCTCTTTATTAATTTAATACTAGCTTATTAACATGTTACGTCTTCTACCTTAAAAACTAAACAAATCAAAAAGGAATTTTTTTTTAATGTCAAAATTTTTATTTATGTAATATGGATGTATGCTTTTGTAACATAACATTTTTTTACACACATACATTATCATTTATCATAATGGGAATAAATGTCATAGTATTAAAGGATCCGACCATTCAAATATAAATAAAAAAGTGTTGGTAAAATATATTAATATAAAAAGAAAAAAATAATAAAAAATTTAAATTTGATTGGTTTGATATCCTCTCATCTGATGTGACATGAGAACATTCGTTCTCAAGAAAACCTTGGGTATTCCCACTCTAGGTACATCCATGTCAAAAAGGAGAAATTTTTATTAATTTAAAAAAAATTAAAGAAAAATATGAGTTAAAATAGAAAGAAAATTTTCTCATTTAGGTACTCCCGTAATATATATAAAAAAAATTCCTTCATTCCCATCTTAAATAGATAGTTTTGAATTTTAAAATTAAAATTTTAATGATAATCGCTAGATTAATGATGAGGATATGGATAACTATACAATATAATTTTATATGATAATTTAAGAATTTATCATTTTTCCATTAATTTAAGATAAAATTATTTCCAACGATCTTAAAATTATGGAAATTTGATAAAATTAATAAAAAATGTTGTGATAGCGATGTACAGATAGAATTTTAAAACACTCATCGTTAATTTCCCTAAAAAAAAAAAACTTAATTTTAAAGTGTTAGAGATAACATGAGTAGCTAGAAAAAGGTAAAGCCATCATATAACCAGCTACAGATAGATTTTTAAAACACACATCCTTAATTCCCCTAACCTAAAACAACTTAATTTTGAAATGGTTAAAGATAACATTATCTGAAATGGCTAGAGAAAAAGATAAAGCCATAATCTAATTCGTGAAATTCTTATCGACATATTATTCAAAAAGGACTGAGTAGATAACGAAAGCAGCAGGTAAAACGCGTTCCAAAACGAATTTATGTTGAATCCAACTTCCACACAGCACAACAGTGCTTGGAGTTGAAGGAGTTTCAATATAAAAGAATAATAAAGCAAAAGACAACTTTGATTACAAAAAAAGGGAAAAGGAAAAGTCCACAGCTAAAAGCAAATTAAAGTTTAGAGAAAACATTGTTGTTGATAACAGTTATTGGACTTGATTTTCTCAAATCTGCTGAAAGTTACTCTCCTTGAGTACAATGTGAAAGACCTTATCTTTTCTCTGCATGGTGGCTCTGCAACTCTAGCTTCCTGCTTCTTCAACCTTGAATTATAACTCTCAATACACTGAAATTTTAAGCACCTTGTGAGTATCCACACCATTTGTTTTTCCCTTTCTTCCATTAAAGTATTGTATTTTTTTTCTCTCTCTCTTTCTCTTTTTTGTTTTGCCTCGAGAAAATCGATATTTGTGCTTTCAAGAGACTCTTTTTGGAGTGTTGTCGTCAAAAATAACAACTTTTGTAGTGTTGGGTGGTGGGTTTGGTTTGGATTTGTTGGTTGCTGTTCCGCGGTGGTGGCCTTTTTTTGGAATTTTCTGATGCCGGAGAAGGAAGTGATTTCGCCGCCGGCGAATCAATGGGGCCAGTGGTCGATTCCAATACTTCATTGGCGTGTTGGTTTGCTCACTGCTTTGGTTTTGGTTGGAATGGTCCTAGTTTGGAGCATTGATGGGTGCACTGTTAAGAACTACATTGAAGTTTTGAGGTATCGCCAAGATTATCTTGCTCTAAGGGCTCATTCTCCTAATTTGACTCTTTCCCATAAAAATTTAACTTTTGTCTCTCCATATATTCCTCTTAGTTTGGATCATAACCAAACCAATAAAACCCAGAATCCTGGCAAAAACCCAAAAAGTTCACTTGTTCAGGGGCATTATTCAAGTTGGATTTCAAGTGAATTAGAGCCCAACTTGACTTCAAATCTTATAGCTCGATGGTCAGCTCGGGGAGGAGAACCTTGTAAAGATTCTAAGACTGTGGAGATTGCAATTCCTGGGTTAGATGGTGGTAAAGTGATAGAGCTATCAGCTGGAGATGTACATGAATTTGGTTTTCAAGCATTGGATGATTCAGGGAAGCCTCACTGTTTGGGTGGGGATTACTTTGAGACTGATCTTTCAGGGGAATCATGGAAATCTCGACCTTTGGTGAAAGATTTCAATAATGGGACTTACTCGATTTCTTTGCAAGTTCATCCTGATTTTGATGGGGTTTACAATCTCACTATAATCCTGCTTTATAGACACTTTGAAGGACTGAAATTCACCCCATGGAGATTTTCTTATGATAGAATGCTGCGTAATATTGCAATCAGATTCTACAAAAGCAGTGTTCAAATGCCAGAACTGCAGACTTGCAAAGCTTCTGATTTTGGGAGGGATGTGTGGTGTGGAAGGTGGACAAGGCATGGCAAGAACGATGACTGCCCCATAGGTAATGATGGTAGGTATCGATGCCTAGCACCGGATTTTCCTTGCAAAGCTCCTTGGTGTGATGGTTCATTGGGAATTCTGGAGAGTAATGGTTGGGTGTACTCAACTCACTGCTCATTCAAGATGTATTCAGCTGAGTCTGCTTGGAATTGCTTGAGCAATCGATGGATTTTCTTCTGGGGTGATTCAAATCATGTTGACACAATACGGAATATGCTCAATTTTATTTTAGATTTGCCTGAAATACATTCTGTCCCCAGACGATTTGACATGAATTTTTCCAACCCAAAAGACCCATCTCAAACAGTTAGGATCACAAGCATCTTCAATGGGCATTGGAATGAAACACAAAACTATCTGGGGTTGGATTCTCTGAGAGATGAAGGGTTTCAAAGTTTGTTGAAGAAATACTTCTCGGAAGAAACAATCCCAGACACTGTAATCATGAACTCCGGCTTGCATGACGGTGTCCATTGGCGTACTGTAAGAGCATTTTCTGTTGGAGCAGACTATGCAGCATCCTTCTGGGCAGATGTTATGAAGACTGTGAAGCAAAGGGGGTTGGCATGGCCAAGAGTTTTTTACCGAACTACAGTAGCAACTGGTGGATATGCAAGATCACTAGCATTTAATCCTAACAAGATGGAGGTATTCAATGGTGTGTTCTTGGAGAAATTGAAGAAAGCAGGTGTTGTATCTGGTGTGATTGATAACTTTGATATGACATTTCCATGGCATTTTGATAACCGATGTAATGATGGAGTTCACTATGGAAGGGCTCCAGCAAAGATGAAGTGGCGAGATGGCCAAATTGGGCATCAATATTACGTGGACCTCATGTTAGCTCATGTTCTTCTCAATGCCTTATGTGCAAGATAGCCAAGCAGCTTCAGTTAGAAGACATGGTCAGAACTTACACTTTGCCTACAAGGTAGCATTTGAGGGAAGTGTAGGCATAACCTATAGAATAATGCACACATTATACTTCTCCTGCAAAGGTGCTTGGTTGAAGACTATTGGGGTAGCATCCACCATATTTGGACAAGTTTGGCATTCTTTCTTGCTTATATATTTTTGTTTGCGTGAGTTATGTATACATGAGATTGTTCCACTCGTAGATTAGCAGAGGATTTTAACTCCTCAAAACACATTTTACTATTGTAATCAATATCATAGTTCAAAGGCTATTTTTGGTTTGCATGTCTTTAAGCATTAATGCAATGACTTGCACTCTTCTATATTGGCTTGTGGTTAGTTACTGACATTGAATGGATAACTTTTGTGCCTTTCTTGTTGGGAGTGGACAGCTATAATTAACGATGGCACCGAACAACTAACAAAGTTCTAAATACCAAAGCAATATATCTAACAACTTTGACAACCACTCCATTTTCTTTTTGGCTTTTTCTATGGCTAGCTTGACATGGATTACCCAATTTTCATCCACCATATTGATAGCTTTGCTTCAATAACTTTTCCAATTACCTATGTACAATCCATCTTCTTTCTGTTTCTGGCACTATTCCTTCTCCATTTATTTTATTTTATTTTATTTTTGTGTTTGCTTAAGAGGCAAACATGCAAGTATGGACCAACTTTTAGTAGTTTCATTTAAAGTTTCATCCTTCCCAATCTCAATAATCAATGCATATTTAAATTTGCTCACAAGATAGTTACAACTTTCCAGTTACAACAAAGATTCACCCATCTCTTACGGGGAAAGGGAGCAAAAAGTTATTTATCAAAAGTTAGCCACACATAATAAATGAAAAAAGAAGAAAAAAGACATTGATAATCTAGTTGAGTTGGGATTGAACTCCGTCAAGCAAATTTTTTTATATCATTGGAAATTATGTTTTCAGCTTATGAAATATGAAGGTTTATCCTATGCCCTTCTATTTTTTTTTTTTTTTTGGGTATGATTATTATTTAATATATAATATATTTGTATGTAATATTTAATATATATTTGTATGTTCCACTCACTTGAAATATACAATCACTTTTATTAAATCAAACACATAATCTAATACTAATTATTAATTATTAAGAGCGTCGATTCCTCCACAAAAACAAAATATACCAAAGGAATTTCTATTTTTTTATTCGATCCAGTTTAATTCGGCTCAAGCATGGTTGAACCTATATTCGAGATGTCTCTACCAAATACTAATTTTTTTTTTTTTTTGGAAGTTACAAGGAATTGAACACAACACCCTACACTACACACACTCCTAACACACACCCCACACCACTAGGCTAACCCTAGTGGTCCAAATACTAATTTTCTATCTATTGCCCAAAAATATTTTGGATCATATTAAATACATAGATAAAAAAAAAATCTAAGAAAAAGTAATTCACCTAAAAGTTTCCTTCTCCAACTAATATTTGCCATACATACTTCTGTTAGGAATCAATATTTTTGTCTATTCGCCGATCTAACTTTTTCAAATATTTTATATTCAATAACATTTTTCAAAAGATTATTCTTGTAGCAAATATGAAATCACTTTTTAAATATTTAAATTGATGCAGTTCAATTTACCTAACTATCACCAATATATTAAATATTTGTAAAATATTTAATATATTTATTTATACTGTTAATAATAATTTTAAATTAAAATAGTTGAAAATCCAATCATTTAGATTACAAATGCTTTTTCAAGAATAATATTTCACATGATATTCATTCCTTATCGAAGATGGAAATAAAGAAATATCTCTATCGCCTTTAACCTCCTCTTCCAAATCCTCTACTCCCTAAAATATGTAACATTCTTAAAGTAATTATACAAAAATTTAAATGACTTATTTACCTTTTATATATTTTTATTATTTAATTTATTTCATTAAAATTCATGAATAAATAAAAGGAGTATACAATCTAACTAAAAATATTGATCGCAAACTTTTTATCATTCAAGTTTTTTAAAAAGAGAAATTAAAGTTTTTATTAATTTTAAAAACATTACCCAAAAAAGATGAAACTAATATTTATTAAAGTAAATTAAAAATATATATTTAATATTTAAATATTAAATATAAGTAAATTAAATATATATTTAAATTAAATTAAATTAAAAATATTTAATTCTTGCTTGAAATAGTTTGAATTACAAACTCAAATGAAAATCTTTAAAAATATATAAATTTAATTGAAAATAAACTTGATAGATGAAACCTAAAATAGGATACTGAAAATATAATTTTTCAAAATTAATTAATAAAAAAAACTACGATTGAATTATGTATTTTACACATATTTTTTTATTTATATATTAATTCTTAATTGTGTGGAAAAATAGAAAAACCATTAAATGTATGAAAAGTATATTTTTTATTATTTTTTCCTAAAAATATAAATTTATTTGTTAAAATAGAAAAAAACTTAAAATAATATTTGATAAAATATAAGAAACTGAAATGAAATGAAATTTGATACTTTATTTTTTGTCTTTTTATTTCAAAAAAGTGAAGGACATTAATAAAAAAACGTAAAAGATGAATAGTATTAATCAACCTGACAAATTATGGATTCTACATAAACTTTAGGGCTATGGTTTTGACTCGGCCGAAGTCTAGACCGGAGCTAATGATAAGGCCAGGCCTGCTATTGGGCTTTCCAAACGAATAGGCTTGACCTGGATTTGTTGAAAATACCCTGGACACGTTGAATGAAGAAGCAAAAGCTAAAAAAAAAATAAAAAATAAAAAATATGGGGAAGAATATACTCACCACCAAAAAATTTTACCACATTTACAACTAACCTAATCACCATTGATTTCTGTCAATTTAACGGTTATAATTTATTGAAAATTATTGGATCACATTTATTAATAATTATTAATTCTTAATAAATTATAACCATCAGATTGACGGAAAACAACGGTGATTTGATTGGTTGTAAATGTGGTAAACTTTTTTGGTGGTAAGTATATCCTACCCCAAAAAATATATATTAAAATTAAGAATTTATTTATCACATTAAAAATATAAAAATAATATTTTTTTTTATTTAAGCAATAAGAAACATTTAATAAAAAACATTAAATGTTTCTTAACTATTTACCTTTAAGAAACTTGTTGTTGTTAATGAAAACAGGTATAGTTTAAAAATTTTAGCATTTATTTATTTAAGTTACGAGAAGCATTTAATAGAAGACATTAAATGTTTCTTAACTAATATATTTGCGACTCTTGCGTACATCAATAAAAATGATATATTTTTAAAATGAATAAATATAAATATATCTTTTCTTATTTTAATTTAAAATGTATTATAGTATTCATTACTAAAACTTAAATAAATGGGTAAAGAATTTGTATTGTAGGAGATAAATTATTTCCGGTGAGTCCAAAACTATATCGTTTTAGAACAAAAATCAAGATATTTTTGTAATTATAATATATTAGAGGTTATATTAGTCTTTATCATTATAATTTTTTAATCTTATAATTTAAAATGATGTCATTTTACATTTATTAGAGATAACTTCATCTCCGGTGGTGGTTACTGTGGAATTACTTTTCTCTAAATAAATATACTCTTATTAATTGTCTTTTAATTTTTTCTATAAATGTATAAAATTCTGACAAAAAGCGAGCGTTGTGATCCAAAACATCACAAAGCTTAAGAAGGTGGGGTTATGTTTGAAGAGAAGTGAGATCGTGGTAAATTACAAAAGTATGCTTAGTTAGTACCAAAACTAAGTTGTTTCCAAAAGTTATTGAAGAGAAGATTGAATTTGCAGGCATAAACAAAAGTGAAAGACACGATGATATCTTATCATTGATTATTGAAACAAGCAACCTCTAATTTCCGCGTCGCAGGTTAAAAATGTCTTACACATGGACCTCTGCTCTCAGGGTCACTCTTCTACTTCTCCTTGTTGTCGCTATTGTTGTTGCTTGTTTTACTCTCCCAATTGAAAAGGTTCCTTTTTTATTTAACCCCTTCTCAGCTCTCCTTCAATTCCATTTCCGGGTCCCTCTGATTTTCCTCCTTTTTTCTATAAAAAAAAAAAATTATATCGCTCTTTAGACTAGTTCTTTCTGTTGAAATGGGGTGGGTTCATTTTTGTTCAAATGATTAATTGCCTGATATAATCACGTTTTGATAACTCATTTTTATCTGCGGCTTCCATTTATGAAGATATTTCTTGTTTCATGAAATGGGATCCGGTGATGATTGTCTCATTGCTCTGATGCATGACACAACCTTGTACAATGTTTAGAACAGGAGTATTATTGGAAAATGAAGATTTTGTTTTAATTTGTTTTCAAATCTACATACTAATATACGGTGTAAGCATATTGTGAACTTATCGAAAATAAATAAAATTAGAAGATAGCATCTCATAAGTTATGGCTTTTTGACCCTTATGCCCCTTAATTAATAATTAATTACCAAATTGCCCTTCATTCAAAACTATTTCGAAAATTTACCCTCCCCAACAAACATAACACCAATCTGCCCCTATTTGACCGTTGACCACGAAGCCTACCCGGGTACATCATTACCTACCCGGGTAAATTTTGAAACTTTTTATCTACCCGAGTATGTAGGGGTGTACCCGGGTAGAGTTCTTGAATCTGGGAAAATGTTTGAATTATTTACCCGGGTAAGGAGCAGTGTACCCGGGTAAACATCGACGGTAGGGTTTTAAAATACCCCAGCAGCCCCATTTCGAAAACCCACAAAAGGGGTACCCGAGTAGAGCTGCTGGAGGAGTGTCTTCTTGAGCGATTTCAGGCATAATCTTGCACCAATTCGTCTTGTTTGTGATCATCATTCGCGGACCTTGCAACCTCTCTGCCTTCTACCGATTGAAATCGATCAAAGGTGCATTTTTTTTTCAGTTTTTTCAATTATGTTATGATTTCTGTTCTGATTCATTGTATTTTCGTTTATATCATTTGATTCTGTCCGAATTATTTTATCAATTTGTATGTCATACGCTTACCCTAACCCTAACCCTGAATCTAACCCTAACCCTAACCCTAACCCTAACATGTATCTAATTTCTGATTTTGGTTATTTTTTCAGTTTAATAGTGTGACACAATGACCTCTCGACGCGTTTCAAAGCTGCCAGTGACCCATTCCGAGAGAAGAACCAAGAGTCGTCACGATGGGTCGTCATCCTCTCAGCCCCAGGCTGCTTCGAGTCAGGCTCCGGACTTGACGTTCGGATATTTGTTTGAGGATGACATACCTTCACACGAGAAGTTCGTGAAGTTTTTCATGACCCGGAAGATCTGCGAACCGAAATCACTGGATTCGGCATTCTTCAACCTAGAGCGTTTTGACATTGTGCCGCTTCTTGAGCAGACACATTTACTTCACCTGGCGGAGATGCGGTGCCCATACTCGGAGGTTATGGTAAGAGCCTTCTACCAGAACCTTGGCTACTCGCAAGGCGAGCTGACTTCCCGTGTCTGCGGGATTGATATCATCATGACTTCCCGTGTCTGCGGGATTGATATCATCAACGTTTTCTTCAAATGGTTGAAAATGTGAGTAATTATACCGTACATTACCTAATTTCATCAACGTTTTCTTCAATTCCACATTCCTAAAACGGGTATTGAAGTTGCTTCCGATGTGACGTAGACAAAATACATGATAAGCATATGGAGGCTGCCACCCTCCGTGGTCTTTCACCGCCCTTATGATGCTTCGATGACGATCGGATATTAGACAAATACCATGCCTATGTGTGACATGAAAACGTAAAAGGCTAAGAAACCAGGACCAATCATCCAACCTCTCACCTGGAGGAACAACAACAAAGTCAATAGGGATGAGCTCAGAAATTATTTACAGTATGAAGTGGCAAAGAAGGGTCACATGCTTTCACATACCCCAAAGCAAAATTATTTACTCACCTGGAGGAACAACAGCAAAGGCAATAGGGAGCAGATCCATCTCCATCCTGAGATGTTGCAATCAATAGAGTACCTCTGTACTTCCCATACAGATGAGTGCCGTCAATTTGAATTATAGGCTTGCAGTGTTTGAATGCTTCAATGCATTGGTGAAATGTCCAAAAAACCCTTTGAAATACGGCCCTGTCTGTATAAACCCGACGTTCATCAAAACATTGATTTGTATCAAGTTTGAACACAGAACCCACATTCACCTCCGTCATATACTTCAGCCAATTTGGCAAGAATGCGTACGATTTCTCCCAGTCACCAAACAACTTAACGATGGCCTTCATTTTTGCCTTTCAGGCCTTCCTGTACGTTATGTTGTATCCATATGTTCCCTGTATCCTCTCCTGTATCAGAGCTGGTCTTGTGGATGGATCTTCCTTTAACATATCTGGAAAAAAAAATAACTTTACCATATTCTCAATTAATCTGAATCATTAAATACACAGTAGAATACATACTCATTATAGCCGCACAAATGACATTTGAATCCAACTGTCTATGATCCTGTGCTACGCCTTGATTTAGGCATGTGTGACCTTGACCCCATTTACGGACCACCCAATTAGCTCCCTTCTTCGGCTTAATTGCCCTCATATACCAGGGACAACCGTCAGCATGGTTTTTACACTTCATAACAAATCTTGACTCGTCGCTTTTTTCAACTATGGCTGTCCTGCGCCCCTTCATACAATGTATCTTCACAGCATGTTGCAATTCTGGTTTGGACCCAAATTCTTGTTGCACAAATAACGGATCTCCTAACTTCCAACCTCCGTGCAAGTCATCATCGCCATATAGGATCTCCAACTCGTCATTAGGGTGCGCCCAGTTAATGAATGAATAATGTTGGCTTTCATTCCAGAATGGCTCCTCAGACCCTGCATCTAAAGATCAACTCTCATTTGTCTGAATGAATACCACCACAAATAATAAATTGTCTAAAGCAAATGTTCAAATTTAATAACTTACCACTACTGACTGGGTCGACATGAAGTGGTGACAAGGCTGGGGTACCGAGACTTACGGCGCTCATGTCAGCCTCAAAATTACCGTCCACGTCAGTGTCTGACGAATCACCTTCTGGAATATCACTTTCAGGTTCTCCCTCATCTTCGCTGTCCACATAGTCCTCGTCTTCATCCTCTTCATCCTCATCCAATGCTACCTGAGGAGGTGCAGAAGATCGTACAACTGTATCTTCTTGACCGGTACAGTGTGCAGTAGTGGTTGTATGCACCGGTAAAGATGAAGATTGTCCAACATCAACTTCAACATATATCTCAATATATTTTAATACTTTCCATTCAACAAACGCATCTGTTACGAACTCCACATCTTCATCATCATTTATATCGTTTCCAATGTAGTATATTGTATTCATATCCACTACAGTCTCTAACCTGGCTATCATGCGGTGGATGGAATGTATGCCTTCTGACCCCATTTTTTGAAGAATTCTCTCCTTCAGTTCATTGCATGTAGTGCCCACTTTGATTTTCATCGTTTTTGTTTTTCCTTCAAATCGGACACCGTTCGGACCTTCAAAATGCCTCCCATTGTAGTAAATAACTATAGGAACCATGTTTGGACTTGAACTCATCTTTCACACAAAAATTAGATCTAGGTTTTGGGTTTGGAGGTTGGTTCGGATTTTTTAGCACAAAATGGGAGTGTGGAGATGTAATCTCAATGTCCCACCAAGATTCAGCTTTCTGAAATGATGAGATGAAATATGTGTGATGTTTCGGATTAGAGAGGGTAAGAGAGAAAGATTTGGGGTTTCAAAAACCCTATACCTCGCAACAATGGCCGAAACCCATACATATTGGGGTTTCTGGACGCGATTTACCCGGGTACACTGCTCCTTACCCGGGTAAATAATTCAAACATTTTCCCAGATTCAAGAACTCTACCCGGGTACACCCCTACATACTCGGGTAGATAAAAAGTTTCAAAATTTACCCGGGTAGGTAATGGTGTACCCGGGTAGGCTTCGTGGTCAACGGTCAAACAGGGGCAGATTGGTGTTATGTTTGTTGGGGAGGGTAAATTTTCGAAATAGTTTTGAATGAAGGGCAATTTGGTAATTAATTATTAATTAAGGGGCATAAGGGTCAAAAAGCCCATAAGTTATAGCATAGTGAGCTAGGTTTACATATGGGAACCCCCTCTCCCTTGTATCATGCATCCAAACCGCAATGCCACTTTTATAATATTCTTCACTGCAAGCATCACATTTGGATTTTCATTCCTGAAAAATTACCCAAATGTTCTGGTTACGCAGAGATTTTGAATTTTTTTTCCAGTTTTTGCTCTGCAGATTCTGAAGGATTTCTTGACATGGGTTGATCGTGATCTTGGGCCATGGGGTCCCCTTGCTCTGTAAGTCAGTTTGCATTTTTGACCACTTAAATTTCCATCTGGTAACTATCTCTTTTTGTATTTTTAAACAATCTGCTAATCGTGATACTTATTTCTATTCATCTAATTGCTCTAGTTTAGACTACAATTTATGGGGTTAGTCTTCAAAGCAGAATGTCCATGTATTTTCATAGTCTGATAAGTTTTATATCAATTGTAGTGCTACGGAAAAGAATAATTATACACATACAAGTGGGCATATTAAAATATCACATGGCTGTTAAGTCAGTAATATGGAAAATGATTGATTTGAATGCATCAATTTGTGAACTCATGTTTGTTTGGTGATTTTCAGGGCAGTTGCTTACATTCCTTTGACTATCTTGGCAGTCCCAGCCTCTGTACTTACAGTAAGAATCGCTGATACCCTGGCATTTCCTTCAAACCTTATTGAACTTTTTGTAGAGTAATTTTGAATTCTCAAGTACCTGCATTGTTGCTCAGAGCTGTTCTTTGAAAGAACTGTTTAATATTTGTGATTATCACCTTTATGCATTTGTAAATTGCATTTGTCAAAGGTCATCATTTTACATGTTTAAATTCTACAAACTAGGTGACATTGCTCGTTATACTTTTTTAAATTTTTCACTATAAAATATGTTCGTTTGGCCATTGTTTGATGTAAGTTCTGAGCACCTCTATCATTTCTTAAATGATTCATGTGTAATTTATGGTGTATAATAAAGTGCATGCATTATAAACAGTTTATTCATTACTTTAAATCTCCTTTGCAATGCCTGGTGGAGAATAGAACTTGAAAAACAAAGTCGGAAATAAATTTGTTGAGTCGCCTTACATGATACTCCTTGTTCAGCTTGGCGGTGGTTATCTATTTGGCCTTCCAGTTGGCTTTGTTGCTGACTCTATTGGTGCAACCGTTGGTGCTGTAGCTGCATTTCTTCTTGGTAGAACAGTAAGTTTATCAAGTTTTGCATTTATTAGTAGTTGTCAAATTAAAAATAGTAGCAAATTTTCTCGTTACCATTGAATAGTTCATTAATTTAGGTTTTTGTTGAGATATATAAAACCATTAAAAAGTCCTCACCCACCAGCTTAAGCTTTTGGGTTGAATTGGTTTTTTACATGGTATTAGAGCCTCGTGTCCCGGGTTCGATCCTCGCCGCCCCCCACTTTCTTTCAAGTGGAATTTCTTTGTTCGCACAGGTAGGTGAGCCTGTGCATTGTCCACCCTTCAAGCCCAGTGGGCTCTCGTGTGAGAGAGCATGTTGAGATATATAAAACCATGAAAAAGCCCTCACCCACCAGCTTAAGCTTTTGGGTTGAATTGGTTCTTTACAGTTTTTCTAAATTAGTACAATATGCTCTTTCTATGTCGCTTTTTCTTCATGTACATGTTTCTTGAAATTTCCTCAGCCTTCCAGTTGGGCTGCATATTGGTCCACGTGTTTCTGCATTATGATATAGTTCTTTGTTTCCTCTGAGGCTATTTCTTAATTTATTTGTCTATTTGTGTAGATTGGGAGATCACTTGTTGTTTCTAGGTTGAGGGATTATCCACAGTTTAGATCAGTGGCAATTGCAATTCATAGATCTGGCTTTAAGGTTTGTAGACTTAATATTAGTTGTCATGAATCAACTCTCCCAAATCCTTAAATTGTTATTTTATTACATCTCTTAACATTAGTTAATAATGTTTTTTAAGTTCTTGTGTCTTTTGATGCTTAATTTAATGTTCCACTACTTGTTATCTTATTTGTTCTTTTGGAATTCTTGTTTCTGACTTAGAGCTCAAGGTGAAGCAAGTGGGTCATGAAATTATGTAGACTTTAACATGATATAATTGTGATGTACAGGTTTGATTGCCTGTTAAAATAAGCAAGAAGTATACTTTCTAATTAAAAGCTATCTTGTTATGTTGATTAATAGTAATGAGTTACATCAAACATGAAATCATCGGTACTGTGGATGTCTCTTCTTTAGTGGCAGTGGCTCACATGCAGTGGATAATTTGCTTACCTTTGCTCATCCACCTTCCAACATGCACAAAAAAATTTGTTAGAGAAATTTAAACATTAATGTGATCTTCACCTAATAACTTAATCTTTTGGGTTGAAATAACTCTTTATATGGTATCATCATAACCTTTGTGACCGATTCTCACTACCCCCATTCTATTAATAAATAATTAAAATTTGTGGAGTTTCTTAACATAGGTAAGTGACTCTGTGTATTGTCCCCATTTCAAGACCAATAGGCTCTTGTCTAAGGTGATGTGTTAAAGAAATATAAAATTATTAATCTGACTTTGTTTTTATTTTTGTGTCTGTCTTCACAGATTGTGTTACTGCTTCGGCTTGCTCCATTACTACCATTTAACTTGTTAAATTACCTGCTGTCCATGACACCTGTTCCACTAGGGGAATACATGTTGGCTTCCTGGTTAGGAATGATGGTATCATCTTCATCCCTAATCAATTATATGTTGGGGACTAACTCTAACAATAAATTTCTCTTTTCATGCTTTACAATATTCAGAATTGTTGAGCGCTAATTCATTTCTTCTTGGTCACTTATTGTATTCTATTTATTTAAAAAATGGTTTATCTGGATGATTTTTAATTAGGAGATGCATATGATTAATGGAAAACAGGACATTTTTAAAAGCTATCAGAGTTATCCCTTTTGATTTGTGGCCAAATAAATAAATTAATATGTCTTTCCTTTTGATTGTTTGTACTGCCACATTGAAAGCACATTGTGCATGGATGTGGGTAATGGATATCTTTAAATTAATGATTTGAGTCTAAATATTAAAATTTGAGATCCATTGATTTAAAAGGAATGTGGTTTTATTGTGCTTATGGTCTATGTTGAGATATATAGTCCCACATTGGTTGTATGTGCAACTAATGTGGAGTTTATAAGACCTTAGGCACTCCCACCCTTTGAGCTAGCTTTTGGGGTGGTGTATCCTAAGGTTCTTTACATGGTATCAGAGCCTCGCCACCCCCCATTTTCTCTTGTGGCGTTTCTTAGCACAGGTAGGCTGGGCCTGTTGCATTGTCCACTCTTCAAGCCCAATGGGCTCTCGTGTGAGGGGGCGTGGCCTATTGGGCTCTCGTGTGAGGGGGCGTGTTGAGATATATAGTCCCACATTGGTTGTGCAACTAATGTGGAGTTTATAAAACCTTAGACACTCCCACCCTTTGAGCTAGCTTTTGGGGTGGTGTATCCCAAGGTTCTTTACAGTCTATAATGTTATGACGGAGTCTACAAATGCATTCGACGTGTAATCAACCCTGTGATTTTTATTGTCGATACTTATATTTTAGCAAGATGGTACATTTAGTTAAGCAATTAAAAAGGAACTCTAAAAGTGTGATTAAGTTTGATGTTGGTATACCTGTATAATATATCACTATCTGCATCAGTTTTGACTTTGAAATTTGGTTTTGATGTAAAAGGAATGTGGTTTTTTATGGTCTATTATGTTAAGACTGAATCTACAAATGCATTCCACGAGTAATCAACCATGTGATTTATATTCTACCTACTTATGTTTTAGCAAGATAGTACATTTAATTAAGCTATTAAAAAAGAACTCTTAAAGTGTGACTAAGTTTGATGTTTGTATACCTGTATAGTATATCATTATCTGCTTCAGTTTTCACTTTGAAATTAGGTTTTGGGAAGTATATATCTTGGTATGTAATCATTTGGGTTAACTTTGAATAAATCGATGAACAAGTTGAAATAACCCCAATAAGGTTCCTTAGTGCTCATGCTGTCATTATTTGTATTACAAATTTCGTTTAACTCAACAATTAATGCTCCCGTTCCCCTTTTGGATTTATGGTATAAACTGGGTAGTTTCCAAGTGTTATTAAAGCTCACTAGATGGCATTCGGGTAACAGCTGTTCTTAATACCTCCAATGTTGTTACTGTTGCAGCCAATAACACTGATACTTGTATATGTTGGAACAACACTCAAATATCTATCTGATGTGACACATGGTTGGGGCAATTTCTCAAAGACTCGTTGGGTAAGAGATGCTATCCTTTATTCCTTAGATTAATGAACCTTTTAAGGGCTCTTTAGCTCTGGTTTATCTTTTTCTGATGAACATCTAAGATGGCTTGGAGGGTGCAATCTTTCGATTTTCTTGATTGGATCAAATAGGTGAGCTTTAACTCATATTATCTTCAGCAGATATAACATATTTCTTTCTCTTTTGGATGCAGGCTTTGATCTTTTTTAGCCTAGTAATATCTGGTAAGTTATGTTGTCTCCCCACATAAATATAGAATATGAATCTGCTGTGCTCTATCCAGAAGTTTATATTTCTCTCTCTTCCCTATGTGTCTTGCTCCTATTTTCTTTGCATGTGACGGTTGGCTGGCTTGCCTTTGTCTGCTACAAGCCCAGTGCTGCAATGGCTGGGCTGTGGATGGGTGGCCGAGAGCTCAAGACTCATACTCTCTTCCCAGGGTCTCTATTTTGAGTTTCTAACACCACTTATTATTTTTTAGGTGGCAGAAGGAAAAAATGCATAAACTTTTAGTAGGCAAATGAGGGATAGCACAAAATAATCTATATCATATTACATATAGTCATTGCCTCAATTCATTACGTACTTTATGCTTAAATTGTTTTGGATTTTCAACAGTATTTGGGAGTGGGTGAGTTATGTCAGGAATCAAGATGTTCACTTAGATTAGTACTTTTATTTGCATATAATTGTTATTTAGAATTAATATGTTTAATGTAATGTGTCTCACATGGTATAAATAACTATACAAGTATTAGATTAGAGAATCTATAGTTAAATTATAGACCATAATGATAGGTAAAATTATTGAGGCTGGAAAAGTAGTTTAAGACCAAAAGTCCATTATTTTTTATGATTAGCCAGGCTGAAGTAATATTTTCGGTTATGCGCAGTGGTTCTGATGATATGTGTTACTAAAGTTGCCAAGTCGTCTTTGGATAAAGCCTTGGCTGAATGTGAAGATATGGATGACACTACATCTTCGCCAGAGCTACCGATTGTGACTGAACCTTCAGTAGATCTCAATCAGCCTCTCATAATTAGATAAATCAGGATGAACACAATCATTTAAAGTAATATCCTGCTTGTAAATTCTTTCTCCACCCCCACCTTCAAAGGCTACGTTTTTTAAAGCTTAAGCACTGCTTCTTATTTGTGATTTGTACAGTTCCTACATTTAAAATGTAGTTTGTGACATAAATGGCTAATTATGCAATCAAGATGAGACTAACGGCATAAAAGATCATAATAGAAACCATTCCTATATTTGCGTTGAATATTTTCGTTTATTACGTCTAATTATTTTATATTAGCAATATTTTAATTTAATCAATATTGACTAGTGTGTTCATGGTTATATCTCATGAAGCAAAGAAAATAAAATTGTCAGTACTATTTATACATATTAAATCTCCCGTTATTATGTTGTTTAATTTTATTGTATATTTGGGAAACAAAATAAAATTGTATATACGGATAATTATTAGCTCTGCAATTTTAATGTTTTTGTAGAAAAAGTGACAAAATTTGAACCCTCTAATCTCTGACAGCAACTAACACTAACTATGCTCTGTTCCAACTTCCAACCAATAGCCTCAGGTCATGCTCAAGTTACTTGGTTCACTGCCTCATATTAAGTGTACTAAAAAATAGTTAAGAGCTCAATGCACACCAAAGAGAAAAGGAAAGCATTTCTTATTGCGGGGAATATTATTTATTCAACTTGGATTAAATCAAAAGCAACCCCTCCTTGTGATAAAGGTGAGGCAACATCATATGAAACGTCATTATGAATCTTTGAATGCCTAGTATTGGTGCCAAGAGCTTCTTTTTCGTTTCCAACAAAGGAAAAGCCATTCTCTAGCATTTTTATAAAATTTTGTCACTACGAGTAAACTTTTCCTCTCTTCTTGTTGCTGAATCTTGGGGTTTAAGGGACCCTACAATTCCTTGATGGAAGGGCTAAACAATATTCTGTTATTGCGAGGTTTCTAAAGTGCAAATCTACACATTATGTTTTATGTTATTCTATAGTCACAACCTCAGAAAACGCTCATCAGCCTCTTGGGTGAGGCACAAAAAAAGATTGAGAGACATTGATTCCAAAAAAGAACTAAACTTTATTACAAGAAGAATCATTTATGTGTGGTTAAAATACATAGTAAAGTTTTTTACAGCATAAAAACATATATTGGTTGGAAGATGATGATGACCACGAACAAGAAGCAGTTCAAGTCTCTAATGGGGAAAGTGAAAGGTTTTAACCTTCTATCTCTTGGAGGTTGCTTTGATAGCTGTCGTGACCACACTCAAGGCTCGGGATTTGGGACGAGGATATGGAACCACAGTGATCGGCCAGTGGAGCTGCAAATAAGGGTAGGATCAGTATTGAAGAAGATTCACACTTTGAAGCCAGGATCTTCTAAAAGAGTGAAATGTAAAAGCATATATAAGGCATATATGCCTGGTAAGAGTGGCAGTTTCGTTGGGAGCATGAAGAGCTTCTTGTATTACTATGATGAAACTTGCCACCCTTATATTTGGGTTCATGACACAGGGTGTCATTCCTTAAGGATGGTTAAGCAGCAATACATTAGCCTTGAGGATCTGAGGGATTCTTCTGAGATCAGAATCTTCAGGGATCATCAGAGAGGATCCATATCAGTTCGTAAGAGAACGAGGCCAGATTTCTGCTGAATTTTAATTCTTGACTATTGCTTATTTCTATAGTTTGTTTGTCATGAGTTTGAAATGACATTTTCTTTTTTTATATTGTGTGCTATTAAATATAAGAATGGATTTCCTGTACACACTTGATGTGGTTTTTGTTGTGACATGGTTCTTTTTTCTGTTTTGCTGTTAGTGAATGGGGGAATGTTGCAGATGAAGGGAGTCAACATTATAGATAAGAAGTGAAAACAATGAATAATAGCTGAAATCTAATGGATTCACTATGATGATGTCTTTGTACTGTTACTATGTTTGCAGAAAAGAGAAATTGAGTAATGATACTGATTTCTTTCAAAATTTGGTCTAACTTATACTTGGATATGGCTGTATGCTGAATGCAAATTTGACCAAGAATTTCTAATACCTTTCTTATTTTTGTAAATTTCGTTCGTAAAAAAAAAAAAAAAAAACTATATAGATAGGACATATGCAAATTTAAGTAAGATGATATGTACATTTAAAAATTTAAAATCAAGGGGTTAATTATAATAATCAAACAAGAAAATATCTGCATATCGGACAAAGTTAACTGGCCTATATATTAATCTATATTATACTGTTAAAATTTGAGTTCGGTATGTTGTCATGTAAACCAAGTATGACAACATTCCCTCATTTTGTGATCACCCTTCTCACCTCACCTCGTGCGATCACCCAAAATTGCAATTATCAAATTTTTACCTATTTCAGATTAAAAGAAAAAAAAAAGGTAAATCGGATTCATTCATCGAAATAGATATATTATCTAGAGTTCGCCGAAAAACATGAATCCAGAAGCACATGGTAAAGGCACTTCTGCTCACTCAACGAAGAGATTGGGCAAAAAAATTAATTTATTACTTTTTTAATAAAAAATTACGAATAAGTTGTCGTTTTGCAAAAAATTACGAATCTATAGCACCCAAACACGCCCACATGGGGCGTGTTCTGATGGAGAGAGACACGCCCATGTGGGGCGTGAGCTTGTGAAAGAAACACGCCCAAGGTAGGGCGTGTGTGGCAGGATAGAGACACGCCCACGATAGGGCGTGAGCTATGAAGCAAACACGGCAAAGGAAGGGCGTGTTCCAGGAGAGAGACACGCCCACGATAGGGCGTGTTATCCGCGGTGTATATAAATCCGTTTTTCACTTTTTTACCTCATTTCCACCCTCTCATCCTCTCTCTAAACCTCCTCCTCCTTCTCTCTAAATTTCTTTTGGAGGATTTCGCGCAGCGAAGCTCTGTCTCTCTCTCATGTAAGTCCCTATTTATTGTTTTTTTTTATTAACAGCAATTAATATTTGATAGTTATTAGCGACTTAGATAATTGTTAGGGGGTTAGAAAAATATTTGTGACTTTATTTAATTGTTAGAGGGTTAGAAAAATATTTGTGACTTTATTTAATTGTTAGGGGGGTTAGAAAAATATTAGTGACCTATGTAAGATTGTGATGTGACTTATATATTATATGGACTTACAAATTAATTAGTTACTTCTAAATTGGTATATGTTGGTTTTATGACTTATTTACACACTTAGAAATTAGTTTGTCACAATTAATTTTTTTTATGAATGACACTTGCAAACATATTGACCTTTCAATTAACCACATTATAATTAGGGTTAAAGACGAATGAATAACGTATGCAATATTAATTTAAATTGAATTTGAATTAATATTTGTATTGAAATATATTGATAGAATAATGTAATGTTAAATGAATTAATTGTCAATGATGTTAATGTAATTGAAATTAATATAACAATTGAAGTTATTAGTTAAATGCTATTTAATTAAGTGCAATTAAATTTTATTTAGTGTAAATTAATATAATATCAATACTAATTTGGGTACATCTTTTTCATCTGTAGTAGTTTCTATTATGGCCCATTCGTCTTCATCAGAGTCCTCGCGCTCTGGATCCGATGGTGATCTTGAGCCATCCGATCCTTGTACGCATGTACTTCCTGGTCCTTTCAAACCCTGCATCCACCTCAAAAATAGTTTCATCAACATTATATGTACGCACAAAATGCATTGTTGCCACGGATTCATTATGTGTCAAAGATTCAATCACATTTTTGCAATAACTATGACCAGATTCAAGTTGCCTACAAGCCGATTGACCTCTTTGCACGCAATATTGAACCAATCTACTGTATGTAAATTTTACCAGACCAGTAATGGACATGTTTCTTGCTCCCTTTAACACTCTATTTATGGATTCTGCCAAGTTTATTGTCATATGCCCAAATCTTCGTCCATCAAGGTCATGTGCACGCGACCACTTTTCCTTAGGGATGACATCAATCCATTCCGCTACCTGCCTGCTTGTGTCTCGAAATCGTGCTAGCGACCTCTCAAAATCCACCATGCAAGGAGTATATCCTGCGAACAATTTAAAAAACACACATAGTTGACGCTTAACGAAAAAACTACAATTATTTAATTCAACAATCATAGTGTGCAACATACCTATATTCATCAGGCTAGCCTTCAATTTGTCATTTCTAAATCGTTGATTAAAATTGCTTGCAACATGTCGCAGACAAAACACATGAAATGCATGGGGTGGCTGCCATAGGGGATTATTTTCATCAGCCGATAATATGCTAACATGCCAGTCTGAAATTAGACATATATTATCCGCTTGAGTGACGTGCTGACGAAGATTGGCAAGGAAGTATGACCAAGCCTCCAATGTCTCACCCTCAACAACGGCAAATGCAAGTGGCACACATTCATTATTACCATCTTGAGCTGTGGCAATCAATAACTTTCCCTTATATTTCCCGTATAGATGAGTGTCATCAATTTGTATCATTGGTTTGCAAAATTTAAATGCCTCGCAACATTGTCTGAAAGTCCAGAAACAACGAACAAATACACGTTTTCCAGAAACCAACTGCCCCCCAACAAAACAATCCTTTGTTTGAATATTGTAAAAAGAACCTGGTGAAAAACGAAGCATATATTCACACCAGTTGGGTAAAAATGCATAGGACTCCTCCCAATCACCATATAACATTGCCATTGCTTTCTGCTTCGCATACCATGCCTTTCGATATGAAACTTTGAATCCATATGAATGCGTTATCCTCTCCTGAACGAGCAAAATGGCCACTGAAGGTTCCTTTTTTATCATCTCTGAATCACAAAAGCTGAATATAAACATTAACAGAACAACAGGTATATCAACTGCAATTTTAATCAGCTTTTTAATTTGAAATTACGTACCTACTACAAGTGCTGCAATAACGTCAGAATCAAGTTGTCGATGATCTTGAGAAATATGGTCATTCAAGCAATTGTGCTTCCCACCCCATTTCGTCACCTTCCAATTTTCACCATACGTTGGTTTAATTACCCTGACCCTCCACGGGCAACCTTGGACGTGTGCACAACATTTCATGCTTAATTTTGTGGGAGTGCTCTCAACCACAATTGCTTCTTGATGCTCCTTCATGAGGTAGCGCTTGATTGCCATCTGAGCCTCTTTTTTGGATGTAAATTGTTGGTTAACAAACAACTTTTCTCCCAATTGCCAAGGACCCTGGATTGAACCCGAACTCTGCGTCCATGATTGTGCCTCACTCGGATAATCCCAATCAATATATGTGTAATGTGGAATTTCTGACCAAAAAGGATCAACAGGTGCATCGCCTACATGTACTACGTAATAATAATAATAGAATTGAATTATTTTCTTAATAAAAAATTGCAATAACCAAACTGTCAGTATATTAATTGATAGCATACCTTCAGGATGTTCTGGTACTTGACTTGATGTTGTGCCATGATGTACAACGATACGAGACTCCCCCAAATCATGCACTAGTTGAAGTTCAGTACCAGACCTGCCACATTCTTCGTCATTGTCCGATGCACTCGCATCCTCTAAAAGAAGACGATCCTCTATTGCAATATTTTCCTCATCATCTTCGTCATACTCCTCATCCATAACCCAAGTAGGGTCATGTTCATCTTCCTCAGACATGTTAACAGCAGGAATAGCAGGAACAACAGGAACAACAGATGATGATGCATTAAGAGGAGAAGTAGACCTAACTGACCTCATTGGTATGACAACTTCCTCCGCGGTTGTAGTATCCACATACAACTCTAAGAAATCCTTTCTACACTGGTTCAAGAACTGTTCCATTACCATATCGATGTCTTCGTCATCGACCACTTGCAAGCTAATGTATTGTTCACGTTGCCATAACCTTGTCGTGACAAGAGTGATCAATTGGTTGTCTTGAAGACATAATTTTTAACGTATTTTCTGATGCAGCTCAGCAACCGTTGAGTTTCGTTTAATACGTGATGGCCTTTTCTCCCCTACAAAAATAACACCACGACGACCTTCTTCTTTCCTACCGTTAAAATATAGAACGGCACGAATAGTATCAGAATTCGCACTAATTTTTTAAAAAAAAAATTTAAAAGATAAAACAAAATATGAGTAAACAAGTGCAAACTATCACAGAGTTTAGCATAACAATGACAGAATTGTGAAGAGTGTGTAGGGGGTGGGTGTTTAAATAGCAGTTTTAGTCACTCACGCCCATATTTGGGCGTGTCAACCCACTGAACACGCCTTATCTTAGGCGTGACCACACACGCCCTACGTAGGGCGTGTTTCCTTCACAAGCTCATGACCCATATGGGCGTGTCTCTCTCCATCAGAACACGCCCCATGTGGGCGTGTTTGGGTGCTATAGATTCGTAATTTTCTGCAAAACGACAACTTATTCGTAATTTTTTATTAAAAAAGTATTAAATTAATTTTTTTGCCGAAGAGATTGATTCTATAGTTCTAGTACCGAAGGAAACTTGCTCTACCATATATATACTTAAATTGAATGAAACACCATTTAATATTATAAAATTTTGGAAAAAATGGTGCTGGACAGTGAGCCGCTTAATATTAAATCAGATTAAATAGATTTGGATTAAAAATAATAATATTTAATCATAAAAATTATATGTTATTAAACTATAAATTTAACCATATAATATTTATAAACAAGAAATAATAAAATGTCTTCAAAAGAATACATTGTTGAAGAAATTTCTCTTGTGAGATTTACAAAGTATAAAATAAAATAAAAAAATCATAATTACTGTTTAATTATTCATATAAATCTTATTCACATTTGATGGATTTGTTTAATTGAATGGAAAAAATTTATTTTTTAATTTTTTAATTGATTTTTCTTATTTTCCTCATTAAAAATAATTAAGTTACTGTAATAATATTAGTTATTTATTTATTTTTTGAGTTAAAAACAATTGTAATTAATGTTAACCTGATTAAATAAATTTTTTAAAGGTCAAAATATTTAAAAATAAGAAAATTAATTAATTATATATGTCTTTTTAAAAAAAAAATTATTTAGGGTAGTATTATTTGATACGAAAGTCAGTCGAATACAAATATTCTTATTTTATATAATATATTAGATTAGATATAAAAAATATAATATACACGTGATTAAAATATCAAGTATTACTTTATTATATGTCAACTAATTAATGTTACGTTGCAACTTGTATATTATTATAATCCAAGAAAAGAAGAAGGGAAAGTTTGGTTAAGGAAACAAGAACGATGCGAATGGCTGGCAAAATCGCAAATAAATTTCTAAGAAAGATGGGATCCTAAGCCGACAACAATTGTTTCCTTCTATCCTATCCCTGTTTGTTGCTTGTTCTGTATTTGGCAGTTGAAAGATGGGAATTTCGTGGAGTAACAGTAACAGTAACAGTAACAGAAGAAGAAACAGTTACCTTGACCATCCACATCTTCCACCTCCTTACTATTACTCTCATTCTCATCCTCATCCGCCGCCACTCCTGCCACCGCCTCCGCCTCAAGGTTACTTTTTTACCCCTTCTACCACTAGCTACGTGGCACCTTCTCCTTCCAATTCCATGCCCTTTTATGCAAATCAGTGTCACCCTCCTCCTCCTCCTCTTCCTCCTCCGCCGCCCTACGTTGATCATCAAAGCGCTAAGAAGATAAGGAACGATGTCAACTTGCACAAACATACTCTCCAACTCCACCTCGATCGCAACAATCCCGATCACCACTTGATTTCCTTTGTTTTCGATGCCCATTTTGATGGCAGGTAAACCCAATTGCTATCTGTTTGATTGTTCTGAAAAGAGAATGTTTTAAGATTGAATTAATGTATCAATTGAGTATTTTTATTTTTTATTTTTTTTGGCTTCTCTGAATTGATATCATGCTCCTTTTATTTGTGATGGGCAGCATAACTATCTTGTACTTGGCCAAAGAAGAAGAAAAATGTAGGTTCATTCCACTATTCCCCGATGCATTTGAGCCTATCACATTCCCCTTTCACAAAGGGCTTGGCCAGAAATTTTGTCAGCCTTCTGGAACAGGCATTGACCTAGGTTTCTTTGAGCTGGATGATCTTTCAAATCCCTCTCCTGGAGAAGATGTGTATCCCCTTGTAATATGTGCTGAAACTAGTTTGAGAACTCCTTTGGCAGATGAAACTCTTGGTGATTCCATGTTGAATGCATCCCCTCACATGCAAGTAACTCAAGCTGTCTTGGAGAAAGCCAATGATAATGGTCCTTTCCAGGTAAAAGTAGTTAGGCAGATTCTGTGGATTGATGATGTTCGTTATGAGCTGAGAGAGTTATATGGAATAGGAAGTTCAACAGCGACAGATTTTGATGATAATGATCCTGGGAAGGAGTGTGTAATATGCATGACTGAACCCAAGGACACTGCTGTCCTTCCTTGCCGGCATATGGTATGATTTCTTGTCAAACCTTCTTTTATATGGAGCTCATACTCAGTTTCAAGGAATAAGTACATCTTAAGGTTCTAGTATGACGTATTAATGATGATTCATGTGCAAAACCTTACTATCATTTTGTATCTGAAAGGGTTTGCTTATAGAAAATCAAGGTCTTTGTTAATATTTCTGAAAGACTAAAATGTTTTGCTTGGTGTTCCTTATGTTACCTGAATTCTTCTTTTCCTCCCCTCCTGCCACCCTCCTTCAATATGGTTTCAAAGTTCTGATCTCTCTAATATCGTTCATGTAATGTTTAAAATGGTAGAACGCAATGTTAAATGTCAGCTCTCAGTACTAATATATATCATGGCAGAAGTTGATGTCTAGTGCTGCTCTTTCTTCCTGTCTAACAGGAATAGTACTAATTGTTTGGTAGAGATCTTTACAGATAGTTGTTATTTCACATCATGTGTATATGTATATATTGTGTTGCATTATGTTCATTTCACTGCTTTGATTATTCTCAGATTATCTATGTTGTATTTTCCAGTGTATGTGCAGTGACTGTGCAAAAGCTTTGCGGTTTCAGTCGAATAAATGCCCTATATGCCGTCAACCTATCGAGGAACTTATAGAGATCAAGATAAACAATGACGACCAATGACATATTTTTGGCCTGATGCGAAGCTGAATTGCATGGTATTTCCATCAAATTCCTTCGTTCTTGAAAAAAAATATTGCTTCCCTTTTTTAATGTCTGCGTTCAGGTGATAAATAGTATCTCTATTTTTATTTTTTGTAAATTGCTGTCAATAATCTGTTCATACTTCATTTGTAATGCGATCAAAAGAAAATTACCTGTCACTGAATGTTGTCCCCTGCCATCTATATGGTACAGGTAATTATTTTCAATTTTTGTCTGTGAAGAGATATTTGAGAGAGGATCATTTGTAGACCTGGTTTGGTTGCTGAAAGACATCATTTATGTATCATTAGGGTCAAGGTTCCTCAAATGAATTCTGTTTTGAAAATATCAAAGTTTTAATTAATCATATAAAGCTATAGTGTTCAATGTTTTTGCTCTTCCTTTATGTTCTTCATATTTCGGGGGGTTAAAAATTTAGAACTTTTGATCTCAAATGCCTTTCCTGAAACAGTTGGTTTATCTCATGAGTGTGACGTAGTGAGTATAAGGAAAAGGAAAAGATTCTAGGTGTTGGACGTTCTTTTGCTTCTTTTCCCTAACAAGAAAGAGGATAAACTAATATTGCCATACAAGGTACCGTTTATGTAGGTACAAAATCAGAATCCTCAAAGCTTGGAGAGGTTTTCAGATATTAACTTTTGAACAAATACAGATGTAAAAGTAAAACCCATGCAACAAGTGTTTTTTTCTTTTTTTCCTCTGCAATTTCTTTGAAACGGGTTTCATATTTTGGCTTTCCCCATTCCAGCTTATAATTGCAGAGGAGTAGAGAATATTAATTCCACAAGATTGTTCAAGTATGATTCATATGAATAGTTTTGCATGTATGCATCTGCAGCTCATTTCAGCCGCCTAATTAGTGTTCGACCCTTGATCATACCTGAGTATTCAGTTGCTGCTATATTTGGAAATCAATGCTTGTATTGCATTATATTATATTTAACCGCTTATTTTTCATACCTTTACGTAGACTGCTAAAGAGGTAAATGAGAAGTGGTAATTGAGAGGGTAACGGAAAGATATTTGATATAAAAAAAACTTCCGAACTATATATTGATTTTAGACTGCTTGTTGAGATAGAAAACTGATAATTAAGGAGTTCAATCAAACAAATGAAAATGCTTTATGTGTATATTGGCAGATTGAGATTGGACTCCTAACTTCATATTTAAATATACCTGAATAACTTTTAGCTTTACTTATCAGAATTTCATTCATTCAACTGTTAAACAAGCAAACGAGGAGGCTGGGATTCATTCATTCGACAGTCCTACGCTTTGTAACATTTAGTTTAGAAAGTGAGATCATCTGAAGTTATGGGCGTTTGAAGAAACTTGTGCTTGTGGGCATCAGATTCCAAGCCCGCAAGTCTCGTTATTACGTGGCAAATGGCCTTTCTTGCATTATCTTAGTTAAGGTGGCTTATAAGGCACCGCAAGTCTGTCTCTAATCATCAATTGTCTGGAATCAATAGCAAACTATTTAAGATTAGTTATGAATGAAGGTAAAATGAGAGAACCAGGGAAGCTTAAACAGTACTGAACCACGAAAGAAGCCATTTTTGTGCTAAACCACCGAAAATTTAAATGGATTTGTCTATAAATCATCTTCAACCTTCATTAGGCAACCTTCCTTCCAAATTTTCAGCTAATCCTACAATTTTATTTTCTTTCAGAGAACAATTTTTACTTGAGGCAAGATAAGATTTTATGTGAGATTTGCCTTATTAACTATCATACCCCTATTTGAGAAGTGTTATTATTGTTAAACGTTAGAACTTTTTCTTTGTAAATCACATGCTCATCCTAGTACATGCTACTAGATCTCACTGGGGGAAAAGCCCGTGCCCGGCACGTAACATATACATAACACAAGTGATTGACCTTTTATTTTGGTCCAACAAAAGAGAAAAGTTAAAAAACCAAGAAACGGGGTAAGGTACCACCATACCATCCAAAGTTCATCAAAACTTCCTACAATTTCAGGACACCGACTCAAAATTATTTTGGTATCTTTTACAATCTTTGACGAAGACAGAACCAGAAAGTTAACCTGGTCCCAAGACCTCACAAAATGCTTGAATATGCAGACCAAGGAAAACGGAGGCATCTAGATATTCATCAGTTCAATTGCACCGTTTAGTATTTGCTTTCTTGCAATGCCTAAACTGTTTGGAATAATGGTAATAATTAAAGTGTTTGTTTGCATGATATCTTCCAACTTCCAAGTAAGTACAACAAAGGGTTGAATAGTAGAAGAATCAAAACTTTCCCTTGTGGTCAAAGCTTCTCATCACCTATGCTCCATTATTAATTTCCCATACCATACTAAAATCTAAAGCTATTGAAAAAGAGACCATGTGTGAGATGCAACTGCAACTGTACTCTTCTAGGTGAGGCTCAATAAATACTCCCCCCACCCCACTTCCTCTCGGTGTGCAAATTCATATTCTCTCTTATCGGTCACTGTCCAAAGACCATGTGGTTGCTCATGTGAAACCTTGGACATAAATAGCAAAGGCTTTGCATGACTGCCCAAGTCATTCCCCAATGGAACCTTGGTGACACAATCAGTAAAAATCATATCCCAAATATAGATAGCCCTATTAAGCTCACAAAAAATTACCCTTCATTCCTTCACTTGTATAAAATTTATGCTATCATAGCTGTACCGGTCACAATCATATATGCCAGAGTTATTTTTATTTTTTATTTTTCGGGTGGGTTGCATTTGGTGATATTTGAGGTCACAAAGAGTCCACAATAGATCCACCCTAACCATGAAGATTTAGCCAAATGTTAATGACTTAATAAACTATGCTTAACTGGAACTCATAAAAGGCACATGCCTTATTATAAAACTAATTCTGATGTCTCTTTCTTCAGACTAAGGGCAAGAAAAACTAATTTGCTATATGGTTCCTTTGTCATCACCATTCAAACACCCTTTGACGGGTAAAGTGACATGTTCAAAGAGATAAAGGGGAAAATAAAAGGGACAAAGACAAAAGCCACAAGGGCTTGATCACGGTTTTAGGCTTTTAAGAATGGTAACAATAATTTGCCTGGAAAAAATCAAAGCAACAAAATGAAGAAAAAAAAACAAGAAACTTGAAACGTGATTCATCAAAGGGCTAGCTAGTTTTTGGTTGCTTTTCTTTCACCTAATTGCTGTTAAAGTAGGACATGCATGATTTAATCAGCAGAGCTTTATTATTACTTGCAAACATGACCTATATGTCTACTTTCTTTTTGAAAGCCCCATAAAACGTGATCAGCTGCAACTCCGTTTCCATTTCACACAAGTTTGGCACCAACACAAAGGGGAAAAAAGACCCTTCATTTCTGGCAGTCTCATATGCAGCGGTTTTTACTTTTTCTGCCACAAAATTATCACAACATTGATAATGTGTATTTAATTTTTCTCCTTCCGGAATAACATACATAATTGTCGTCCATTAGGTGAGGCCCCGCCCCTTCAGATGAACATGGCAAATCTCCTTTCACACGGAACTTTTCCTTTATTTGTTGATAACTAAGTATCGACGAGGGATGCTCCATGTTTAAAATTTTTAACTTTTTCTTTTCGGTACATAAACGTTTAAACGTTTAAAACAGGGTGCAATGCTCCTGCTGATAATAGATTATGTCCCTTTTTTTTTTTTTTACCAAAAAGATATTGTCGTATCTAAGAAGCATTACTAAGCCAAAAGATATAATAAAATTGGCTTTGTCAAGGTAAGGACAAAAGAAAAGAACTCAATCAAGGGCCTAGATTTCGGAATAAGAATAGAAGCACGGGTTAGAGCCTAAAATAATAGATATAAAAGCAGTTAATAGATGGGAGAAAAAATTGTCCATTGTTCGATAATGATGTCAGTAAATGGTGGAACTACCATGACCTAAGTATTTAATGTTGTTTCGAAGGGAGTTGAGTGCGAATATCTACTAGTGTTTGATAATGATGTTAATCAGTACAAACGATTATGTATGTTGTATATTCAGAAGTGTCAAATCCTAACAAGCAACAACACGAATCCGGTTTCTTGAATACATTACATGTTTGATAATCATACAAAAAATATATAGACATTTTCTTTTTTCCTTTTTTTGTTAAAGATATTTTCTTTATTCATGCTATAAGTAGTCACGTAAGTATAAATATTCCCCACAGTAACATGTGCATCACAATTATTGATATGTAATTAATATATATGTAGCTAATCCACCACACAGGGAAGACAAATAAAAAACATTAAATGAGCGTGACATTGTCTGGGATGAGATAGTGGTAGCTCCTCACTCCCATTCTCCGTAATGCACTTCTGACGTTTGCCAAAAATAGAAGAGCTTTTGTTAGGTGAATTTATAATGGAATGGACCCAACAATAAATAGATATTCTATCTAATATTCTAATTAATTCAGTAAATGCTTGTTTTTCCGATCCAAATGATAATATTATTTTCTTTTGGATTGAACAAGATAAATTTGACTCAGTTATTCACTTGGGGACCATATGTTTACCTCATTTTATATTATATATGAAGGAAATGCCAAAACAGCCGCAGCATGGAAATGAGAAATTTTGTGCTGAATTTCTAGTGGTGAAAAGTAAAATCAGTGAGGGAGTCTGGAGAGAGAAGTGGTGACAATGTACCAAAAGCTAGTTCTAGAAGAGGAAATTTACAATTCAGCCACTCCCCCAATTAATTTAATTGTATCACCCCAATTTGGGCTTTAAAAAAACTGACAGAGCTCATTCATATCGGTGATAATTATTACCATAGATTTTAAAACAAATCTCGTATCAGATATACTCCCACATTCTCTCTCCTCTCCTGTTATTACCATTTATGATTTTTGAGCATCCCCACCTCACAGTCTTCGAGCCAAACCAAGCAAGAGAGGTGGGTTAAAGGTAGATTCGTAGCCAACAAGCCACTCGCTCCCCATGGCCACGGTTAAATTGTGCAAGTTACACTTACAATAATAAGTCCCCTCCTAGATTGGCTAATCGTAGCAAAATACCAACAATAAATAAAGGCACCAAAGAAAGAACGAACGATTGGAACACCATACCCCCTTCTTTCCTTTCTGCTTTTCCCCTCTTTCTCCTAATGACTACTTACCTCCATTTCTCTTTCCAAGTCTGAGTCTTACTTTGTTAAGCTCTCCCTGTCTCTCCTCAGAGACTCAGAACCATTTCTTTTGCTCTGTGTTTGGTTTCCAAAGCCTACCAAGGAAGAAGCTCTATTTTCCTTTCTCTCATATTTGTTCTCTGTTTTTTTTCTTTCTTTGTTGCTTAGATCTGTTACCACCCTTTCTGTATTTTTATTCGTTGTTTCTTTGGCGGGGTAAGACATGAGTAAAGAAGAATTTTTGAAGATACAGGTACTCCCATCACATCCTTCATGTTTTTGTTTAAAGCTCTCTGCTTTATCATTTGAACGGTTATTAGGAGGCCTGTACTTCCTAATTGGTGTAGTTTATTTGCCTTTTGTATTCTATAAATTTCTGATGAAGTAACAAGTTTTGTACCGTTTTAGTTCTTTTAATTTACTAATAATGAAACTTCTCTTTATTCTGTTTCGGATTTGTGGGATTGCTTGTGCATGCAGAAATGTGTACTTAAAGTGAACATACACTGTGACGGGTGCAAGCAGAAAGTGAAGAAAATCTTGCAGAAAATTGATGGTATACATCCGTTCTCTGAACTCTTGTACAAGAAAAAAAACATAATGGTTACCCCTTTTTATGTTTTGCATCATTTTAAAAATAAAAATAAAAAAGATAATTGAAAAATTTGTTTTTATTTATTTATTACCTGAAGATAAAATAAAACAAAAACAAAAACATGTTGCTAACCATATCTTGAATCTGCGGTGTGTTTGGTGAATAATTACAGGGGTGTTTACCACTGAGATAGATGCTGAGCAGGGGAAGGTGACGGTTTCAGGGAATGTAGACCCCAATGTTCTCATCAAGAAGCTTGCAAAATCAGGGAAACATGCAGAGCTCTGGAGTGTCCCCAAAGCAAACAACAATAATAACCAGAACCAGAACCACCTTGCCAACCAGTTTAAGAACATGCAAATTGACAACGGCAAAGGTGGGGGACACAACAACAACAACAATAAAGGTCAGAATCAGAATCAGAATCAGAAGGGTGGAAATAACCAGCCCAAGGGTGTTCAACAAGGAGGAGGACCAAATCCTCAACAGCTACAACAGCTCCAGCAACAGCTTCAACAACAGCAACAGCTTCAACAACAGCAACAGCTTCAGCAGCAGCTGCAGCAACTTCAGCAGATGAAAGGATTCCAAGATCTGAAGCTGCCTCAATTCAAGGACCCCAGAATGCTCAATCAGAACCCCAACGCGAAAGCCGTCAAATTTGATATACCTGAAGAAGATGACGACTACACTGACGACGAATTTGATGAAGAAGATTTAGATGACGACGAGTTTGATGATGAAATGGATGATGTTCCCCTGAATAAGATGAAGCCCCCCATGGGGAATGCTGCACACATGATGTTGAATGGGAATCATCCACTGCTCATGAATGCTCAGAAGGGTGGGAATGGTGGTGGAGGTAATAATGGGAAGAAAGGCGGTGGAGTACCTGTGCCTGTGCAAGTGAATGGCAATGGAGGAAAAAAAGGAGGTGGAGGTGGAGGAGGAGGAAACATTCAGAATCAGGGTGGAGGTAACAAAAATAATGGTGGCAAAAATGGAGGTGGGGCACCAGAGGCTAAAAATGGTGGAGGTGGAGGTGGAGGTGGAGGTGGAGGTGGAGGAAACAAGAATGGTAACAATGGAGGGAATAATAATAACAATGGGGGTAAAAAGGGAAATCCAAATCATATAGGTGAAGGTGGTGTTCAAGCTATGAACAATGTATATCAGAACATGGGTGGTCACCCTGCTATGGGTGGTGGTAATGTGGGGCCTATGGGTAACATGAGCATGCCAATGGGTGGGATGCCAATGAACCAAATGGGTAACATACCAGCCGTTCAAGGCCTCCCAGCAGCCGCCGTTAACGGCGGTGGCGGTGGTGGTGGTGGACACTTCCAAGGTGGTGGTCCTAATGGTATGCCAGGAAATCCTTACCAACAACATCAGCAGCAGCAGCAACAACAACAACATCAACAGTACATGGCTGCCATGATGAACCAACAACGTGCAATGGGAAATGACAGGTTCCAGCCAATGATGTACGCGCGGCCACCGCCTGCCGTCAATTACATGTATCCTCCTTATGCGTATCCTCCTTATGCGCATCCTCCTCCAGACCCATACACCCACTTTTTCAGTGATGAGAATACTTCAAGCTGCAATGTTATGTGAAACGAGTTTATGGTGGCTGATGCTGTTACGGTGGTGGTGGTGGTGGTGGTTGTTCAGTTATAGTTGCTGCTGGCCTTTTCATACAATGGAAAATGAGTTTTAATTTTAGTTTGATTTTCATTTTTCTTTTATCCCTTTTCTTGCTAAGTATAAGTTATATTAGTTACCATAGGGAGTAGTTTATAGATTTCATAATATTATTATTATTATTATTATTATTATTATTATTATAAGTTTTTGGGGAGTAGTTCGAACTGATAATGTCTATATGTGTTTATATGTTGCAAACAGAAATAAAAATTTCAGAAGGAAAGCAGAAGAATATAGAGAGAAATGGGATGAACGAAACTCAAATTTCCGTCTCCTGTTTATTTCTATCCGGAAATCCAATTTTCTTCACAATCATAGTGTCTGCCATCTATTTTACTAATGTTTATCCTCTGGTATTAATACGCATCATCACACCATTAAAGATTGTCGCAGCATTGTATTGAATGTGAGGAAATCACGGATGCTTGTGAGGTGTGGGGGCGGAGCATACAGTATGCGTTAGGCAATTCAGTCGTTCAGGGCTGGTTGGGGGACCCACTAACACAAACACTGTTTTTTTTAGTCTCGTGATTGAGTGGAGTGGGTGGGCCACACATAATCACCATTCCACAATTGCCGAGACCCAATTCACATCTCATCTCATCCTCGTGAATCTTTATTTAAAATAAGAGTTTGGTATAATAATGATCCATCCCATGAATTATTCCAGTTACAGTTCCCACAAACCAATGTTTTGCAGCTAATTGAAATTTTTGACTTTTAGTTGATAACACTAGTGCAAATGGAATAACAGCTGCAGAGCTTTTCAACATGGGTTGACTGTGGAACTAGCCAACTAGCTCAGCTGATATCATATATTTTGAGTTCCATAGTTAATTGGAATAATTATTCTTTCATCAAATCACCTGGGCTCTTAAAGCCCTGTGTGGATATTAAGACATGCTACTCACGCTTCATTTTATTTACCAAATTTTGTAAAAAAATATTTTAAATATGACGTAAAATTTCTTAACTTAGCTTATTGCTAATGCTCTCTTGGGGGGTTCAGCCTAATAATGCTACACAGTGCAGTGATGGGGAGGGTGGAGTGTCAGATGAAGAACCCGGAAGAAGGTAGAGAATTCAGGGGCATTGGTTGTGTCCTGTGTATATTATCCGTAAGCGTAACAATGTGTAGCCGCATAAGGTTTTTTTGTTGACAGAGACAAGTTAACTACTTCATATTTCAAAAATCTAACGGCGTTGACACTTTGTCACCAATTTTGGGAAGCGTATAGTCTTTTCAACACAGAGAGCATCACCGAGTTTAAAAGAAAAAAGAAAAAGATGCAAGGGACCCCACTTTCACAGCAGTTCATTTGCGGTAATCATATCATGTGGTACATCAGTTGCGTTAAAAATTTATTTTATTGCTTAAGATACAATTAGTTATATTATTTAATTATAATTATTTATTTAAAAATTATATTTATTTATTTTTATGTCATGTGATTAAATAATATAATCACAAAATTATTTTTAAACATAAAAGAATTCAAATCCGTGAGGATTGGATGATGGACAGGATATAGGTCACATGATAATGATGGGGTCATCCCATCCATCCATCTAATCAGAGCGAGATGTCTGATCTGATTGATGATGTGGGTTCCACACATGACACAGAGTTTGCCATTACCCAAAATAGAGTGAAATAGTAGCTATTGCTTTTCTCAACTTGTTCAGCGAGTGACACCACATTGCATCATCGCCAGCCACCTCTTCACTTGATTTGTTGGATTGAGCTCTGTTAAGCTGCAGCTGGGCTTATATATATATATATATATATATATATATATATATATATATATATATATATATATATATCACTGTTATAACCGGATATCCGTTAGATATATACACATATAGGATCTGGGTGTTTGGTGCGGCGACTTGCGCTACAGAGGAGTGCTAATCCCTGAGATGCATTCAATGTGGGGCAGCTCTGTTCTGGATCCAATATTTTATCCGTCCGTTTGTTTGCCCACGAGGTTAGGATGATTCGGGTTTTGTTTAATCCTATTCTTCTTCTTGTCTGGATTTCACCAGCGGTTGCGGATGAAGTGTCACATGAAAAATAATGCAGGGGAATGGGGACACGACCTATACTAGGCACTGGGCAGTGTTGGATGTACGCAAGTGGCGCACGCTGAGTTACATAAACCTAACAACAAGTTGCGTGTCTGCACCATTTTTTGTTAATTACTACTCCCATTCACATGCACACTTATATCTTCAATTTCGCCTTTTGAGTACATTACATATTTTTTTATTTTTTTATTTTTTTTAAATTAATTGGTGAAGCAGCTTCATGCCTCCATGTCAAAACCTAAAAGCATGATTACTTTTTTTGGGGAAAATTAACTCAAATGATAAATTTAAAAATTTTGCTACATGTCAATGTATTTGAAGAAAATCAACTTTATCCTTTTTAGTTTAAAAAAGGTAAAATATTTTTTTTTTAGATGTACCTTTTATATACATGTTAATTGTACATACTGTCTCATTCACAGAGAGAGGTTAGCCTGATTTTGATGAAGAGAATAAATTTGCCAAAAAAAAAAAAATTGGCAGAGAATGTTACGTGAGTTATGTACAAAAACACGAGGTGTGATCAGTAAAATTTAACATTTTCCTTTCTATACTGTTTCGCAGTCAAAATTAGGAGAGCTTTTTTGATACGACTTATTTTTCAAATTAGTAAATCATTAGGACTTAAAGAAAAATATACAAAAAGACATTAACTTAAATGATATAAAAAAAGTTTGGAATTTGATACTCGTCGCTGTATTAAAAAAAAATTCCAAAATTAGGCAGAAATTGGAGAGGAAGAGTTTAGGTGGTGCGTGGTGTTAGTGTATGCAGGTATTCATGTTCCATGCAGTTTAACAGCACTTTTCCTTAATTCTGTAGGGCCACCATTTGTTTTGAGTCTTTTGACCACAACGTGGGCCCCTCTCGTTTGAAACATATCGGTTTTCCAAGCCAACTCACCTTCACAGGTAAGGTATTCCTTTCCCTGAAATATTTTTGGCAAGCAATGGTTATATTCGGTATTTCATTTAGCTTTGAGTTAATATCACATTTTTTCTTTATTTTGACGATGCTATTTATATGCATAAGTGCCATCAAGTGTTGCTTAGAAGAAGAAAAAACGGTCAAAGGTGAAAAGGAAAAGGTAACTGAAGCAGACAAAGAACGGCGTCAAAAGAGACGGGTAGAAATTGAACGCAAATGGTGTGTAAAGCTATTTCACCAATTAAACTTTAAAGGATTTAAAAATTATATAAATTAAAATATTTAAACTTTTAATATATTAACTGCTATATTTTTTTTTATGAAAAATGTAATTATCATGTTACATAAGAAAAAAAATAATTTTTTAGCTATCCATTTTTTCTTTTTGAGATAGTAAATCCCACAAAAAATAGTAAAAATTTTCTCTTAAAAAATAATCTCTTCTTTTTATTCCTTAACAAGTTTCTTTGGACATTCTTTCATAGGACCCACTAAGAAAGCGTTACCAATAGGAACGATAATTGCAAGTTAAAGCATTGAAATGTAATCATGAGTGGGTAGGATGGTAAAGACAAGCAAATAATAGAAAAAAAAAAGGGCAACTATATAGTAAGAGGAATTGGATGAGTCAAATATGAGAAGCACATGGTTTAGATTGAATTATTAGTTATTTAGTTACCTGCTGCAAAACTTAAGCATTTTCGCGTATCTTTTCATCATATATACGAATGCTGCCTCCATATCCAATTGCAATGTAAGTTACGAGTGAGTGAGAAAGAAGAATGATTGAACCCAGTACAGTTTTCCTTATTCATTTTTTTTCCTTCCTCTATTTAAATGACAGTATATATGTTGGTTGGTTTGCCGACGATGAATGACCTAAACTTCGGATTTTTTAGGAGTGGGGTTTGATGTCTTTTTTTACAAAAAAATATACTTGTACAAAAAGAACTTGTGTTATTTGTACACTTTATTTATTTGAGAAATAAAGAAAAAGAGAAAATAGTAAAATGTATATTTTTTATTTTATTATTTGAAATGGAAGGATGTTATAGATAATGTAATTTTTATCTGCAATATGTATAAATGTATAATATACAGAGTAACAGAGAGAGACTGAGAAATATGATTAATTTTCATGAAAAATAAAATGTAACTTAAAAAACAAAATATTCAGATCTGTATGATTAGTTACGCACAGCCTTCGAGAAAAATCGAAGCTTATCAAATCTACGCAACATATGCTGAGTACATACAAACAGAAATGAGAAATCTTTCATTGACGGATGAATTGAAAAACAGAAAATATTGAAATTCAAACAAATTTTTCAAAAAAAATTGTAACTTTAAAATAAATTTTTTTTATGGCATTATAAGATTATAAATGACTTGAGATAAGTTGAATTAGACATATCTTCGGTGGTGGAGCGAAAGAGAAGTTCGGAAGAATGATTGTCTCTTTCAATTTGGTACAAATCTTGTTTAAAAAATAAAAAATAGATTAGGTCTAATTAAAAAAATTAGGTCTAACTTAATTTATATTTAAAAAATAAAAATTTTAAATTAATCCTGTTAGACTGTTTAAGCCTGTAAATATTTAAAAAAATAATTAAAAAATATTATTATATTATTTAAACTTATTAAAATAACAATTTTATTTATTTTATTTAAAATATAAAATATAATATAGGCCGACTGATATATTTATAGGCCCAACATTTATCAAAAGACTAATAGCCTACTTTCTAAATAATTTTTTTTAAAGTTTAAGCTTATTATATTTATATTTGTAATAGTCTAAGCTTAATTTAATATATATTAAATTATAGGCTCTGTTGGTCGACCTAACTTCTTTATACTCTTAATACCACAACAATGTTAATCAATCTTTCCATATTTGTACGAGACTGCCATGTGTATCTCGTATTCATATGGTTAGGTTTATAGTTTATATAAAAATTAGCCACTATTAATTAGAAAAAATATTTCTAATTTTATTATAAATTAAAAAGTTATCTATCACACTCCCATAAAGTGAAATGGATCCTGTTATATAAAAAAGAGAAAAAAATTAACAAGATATCCTCACTTTTATTGCGAATGTACCAGAATTATTATTTTTTTACAATAAAAGCAAATCTTCATGTGAGTGTGTGTGACAGATCATAATCTCCATTTGCATCTTCCATCACACCGCATCATTTCCTTGTACTTATGTTTTCTTTTTCGTGATTTAATTATGAAAT